AATATAACTGACAAAAAAAAATAGATGCACGAATGAAGTGATAAAATCGTAATGTATTAGTATTGATGATGGGTTTATTAATACGAGGAGATACTAGATGGTTACTATTTTAGAAGCACGCATTTTAATTCGTTCTAAAAGAAAGGAAACAAAACACCTTATAAGTTTTACATTTCCAAGTGCTTAAAAAAAAAAAGTCTTATCCGATAACGAATCGACACGTTTGCATACTATTGTCATTTAATATTACAAATATATATTTACATGTTCATAATTAATGTGTGCGTGACAAAAGATTATATATTTCAATTTTATACCAGTGCGTTAGAAATAATTCACAGATTATATAAGTTACTTTCTTTGTTAAATAATAAAAGGAAAAATGTGCAATTAATTAAGATAATACACTCGTAACATACATTATTATATACATGTTACCTATATAAAACAGAGTAACATAAGGGTGTTTCTATTGTAATCATCACCGTTTAAAAAACTCTTTATTTATAATTTTTTAATCTTTTTTACATCTATTGACTACCGATTTAAATGTATTTACTTCCGATCTACATGTTTCATCACATATTGTTGAAATATTTGTTTACACATATTTATTTTAAATCCATAATTAAGTATATGTTTCTTTTTTATCCTTTTATAGTCCATTTTGACACTTTTTAAATTCATAATATTTTGTATGTTTATCAAGTTGTTCTCGTTTTATATTTCAGTTTTGTTAAGTCATTTGCATTATAATGTTCTTATCTGATTATTCGACTATTCGAACGTCTTTTTCGGAATTTCAAGGTAATCGCTGTTTGAAGACTTTGATTTACAGGCGGCATTGGACTTTCACGGTCGGAAACTGCAGAGTGAGGCCTTGAACCATTCTGTACGCTATTCAAAGAACTCGAGCTCCAGTTTCTTGTCATCTGGGAACGCTCTCCCTGACCAGACATCCTATCTCTGAAGGCACTCAGGTTACTGGTTGACCGGATCCTTTCACTCGAAACAGATCTTGTCGCACTGAAAGAGCTTGAGCTGAGACTTCTTGGACATCGGTCATTCTCCATCAGACCAGACCTGTTCTCAGTAAAGGAACTCGAGCTTGAACTTCGTGGAAACCTGTCATGCCCATTCGGTACTGTCGTGCTTTGTTCGTTGTACACAGGTTGCGACTGTCTCGCACTACTTTTAGGATACTGTTTCAGGAGCTTCGAAACACTGACTGGTTCAAGCTTTGTTACATTTTCTGATGGGGGCTCTTTTACGCGGGACGGGTATGATTGTTTGATGAGGGGTACCTGCGGGTTTAAAATTGGCTAGAGCGTAAAAAAGGTGGGTTTTGCCTTAAAAAATATAACAGGTCGTTCTCGGAAAAGGTTGGTCGGAGAATTAAACCCTTATGAAACCCAGAAAAATGCTCTTGGCCTGTTTTTGAGTAGTGAAGGAGTTTTCCCCCCGTACAAAAACTTTGGGTCTTTCTTCACGGAAAAAAAATTTTTCCAACGTTTTCCCTTTTTCTTGGAAGGTCCGGAAAAAAAAACCCCTGAAAAAATGCCCAAATATGAAATTTTCCCCAAAATAAATTTTTTTCTATTAAAATCTAAAGATTTTTGGGAATATTTTTCTTAATAATTAAAACAAAAAAACCTTTTTTTTAAAAAAAATGGAGGTGAAATTTTAAATAGCGCTGTTTAATTAATTGGGCAAATAGGATATTAAAAATGCCCTTTATGGTAAAAATATGGTAGGGGATTTTGCCCCCAAACCCATCCATTTTAAAAAGGAATTACAGATAAAAAAGGAAATTTTTCAGTATTTTAGTTTTTAAGGGAAAATACCAAAAAAAAAAGTAAACTGAAAATATAAAAAACCAAATTTTAAATTTGTAAAAAAATTCAAATTTACATTTTTTAAAAATAAAATCAGATTTTTCCCGCCGGGGGAACATTAAACATTTCTTTAAATGAAGCAAAAAACCCCAAAAAGGAACAGACATTCATTTTTTTATCTTTTTTTTATTGTTGGAATCTACGTATTTTGTACCCTAACAGAAAATTCAAGTGAATTGGGGAAAAAAAATAAAATTTTTTGGTTTTTCTAAATGTTAAAAAATGTTATATCGTATGTGTTCCCCTGGCAGAAAATTTAAAGATTAAAAATTTTTTTAAAAAACTTAATTTTTTGTACGCCGCGAACATTTTAAAATGAATACACGAATTTAGGGTTATAAAGTTTTTGCCTTGCAATGGTTTGTTAAAAAATTTTTTTGGGGCAAAAGAAATGTCCCCAAAGATTAATATGTCTAAATTTTTCAAGATTTGGGTCCCAAAGTTTAAGGTTCAATAAGTTTCGTTTTTACCGAAAATGACATCTGCGAAAGAAAAATTTTATGGAGTTAAAGATACGGGATCTTGTTTATGCAAGTAAAAAAAAGTTTCATTAAATTTAAAAAATTGAAAATTTAAAAAATTTGAATTAAAAAAAATATTTAAAGGGAAAATTTTAATGATTTCCTTATTTAAAAATGGGAAAAAATATTGTTTGCATAAATTTTTTTAAAAAATTTTTGGGGAATTACATTTAGCCCCCTTTTTGTTAAAAATATAAGATGTACGTTTTTTTATTTCCCCCTTTAAAAAAACCCACCGTATTTAAAAAACAACAAAAAAAATAGCTGAAAAAAAACCTTTTTTTTGGAAAACTGTATTAAACCCTTTTTTTAAATGACGGTTTCTAGGAAATATAGTAGAGTGAAAAGCAATATTCATATTAAATTTTTTAAAAATGGATAATTTCTTCAGGTTTATCCCTCCAATCTGGGTTCCCCAGTAACGTATATCTGCTTTAAACCCCGTATTTTTCCAGATAATATAAAAATACACAATAAATTTTTAATTGGATTAAAAAAGGGAAGTTCAATCAATTTTTAAAAATTGAAAAAATCTTTTGCCTTTTCCAAAGGGAAAAAAATTGAAAATTAATAAAAAAAGTTTAATTCACGAAAATTAAAATTTCCCTAATTTTAAAAAAAGATTTTTAAAAAGAAAAAGTATTTTTTTGGGCCCCCATTTAATTTTTTTGTTTTAGGCTCTTTCCAATTGGTAAAATCTCAGTCAAAAATACCATAATAATGTAATTTAAATAAGGAATTTGTTTTAGTTCTTTAAAATTGGAATTATTTAAACCCCTGGAAAAATAATTTCCCATCCCGCGAGTAAAAATTAATTTGGGTTTAAAAGTTAAAAATTTTTTGACTTACACAAAAAAAAATTTTCTTTTATTACAAAAATTTTAAAAAAAATTTTTGAATGAAAAAAAAAAATCCCAATTTTTTCATGAAAGGGCCCATTTTGTAGCGGGTTTTTGAAAAAAAGTAAGGGGCTTTTCAAAACTAAATTTTCAAATTTAATTTTTCGCAAAATTTAATTTTAACACTGTAATTTTTTTCCCCCGAAAAATGAAAAAAAAATGTTTAAAAGCTTACCTATATTGTTTTGTTAAATACATTTTTAAAGCCATTAAGCTAAAAATAAAAAAGTTTTTGTAGGGAAGGCAAAAAGTATTTTATATGCGAAATGGACCTTCCAAATGTACATTTTATGTAAAAATTTGGTTTAAATTGTTATCCAATTGCTACATGAGATTATACACAGTACTGGTACAAAAGAAAACAGGTTTTTTTTGGATCTGTTTTTGAGCTTGACCTAGCAATGAATGGAAAAAATGGGCTAAAAGTTCCCCAAAGAAAAAAACCAAAGGTCATGTAAAAAGGGTGAAATTGTGGAAAAAAGGTTTTGCTTTTTAAATTTAGCGCTTTTTTTCTGAAAATATTTTTTTGACTTCCATATAAAATATTTGATTACTATATCATTACAATCTCCCTAAACGCGAAACAAAAAAATAATCGTACAGTTCAGTCAAACTGGTAATTGTTGGGACACTTAAGATAAAAAAAGATATATGTGCAATTCCGAGGCTCAATTGACCTTTAATCTTATTGTACACACACGGCCATAACTTCAAAAGGAATACCAATCATTTGAAATTTCAATATCTATTTTCATATTTATTTTCTAGTTGTGTTTTATGTTACATGTAATTTTTTCAATGTGCGCTATAAGTGCCGCGTCATCATAATGCAATGTTTGAAAAGGACTACCTAACAATATTGCTGAAGCATTTCATTCAAGTATAACAAGTGATTGATGCGACATGTCTTTTAAAAGTGTCTTATATTTAGCTCATTTGACAATCTCGTCAACCAGGACGCATTTGTGCAATTTTTAGTTTCTTATTTCTAGTATAATCAGACATTATTGTAGCAATTATTGACAATATCGTGAAATTTTGGGTTTTTCTTTCGAAAGAGAAAATACATTTAATCAATCGATTGCTGGTAAAATTAAAGCTGCTACCTCAAGACAGAACGTTTTGTATATTAGTGTCATCAAATGACAAAAAGACACAAAGCTTCATTTAATTACATGAAACTAGCTACAATTCCTGGCAATCTTGTTGCGTTATTTGTAAAAATAATGTAAGAAATGATTAGCGCTCTTATGCTTGATAATGTTATGATAATTGTTGTATTTTGACAATTGTGAAACACGTTATAAAAATCTACATGTAAGAAGTTGATTCAATAGAGAATTTTGATCTCATAAAAATATAACAACATGGTCTAATTTCGGCATTATTCGACCATAAAATGATATGTCACCATTATTATAAGCTACGTTTCAATGTTAATTTATTTGCGACGTTATTTGTTACGATCATTTTTTATCAAGGTGTGTGTCTATTTGAAAGTGAACAAAATAAACATAAAACTTCCATTCTGATAAGGGTGAAGAGAAACTGGAATTTCTGTTAGGGTAAAACTATGATAAGAGAATAAAGACAGTAATAAGAAAAAAACACTTTATTAGCAATTTCAAACAAAAATTATTTTCAAAACAATAAAAAACAACAAAGAAATATAAATTACCCGTTTATAATGTTAAAAAACTTTATTAAAATCATAAAAATAAACAAAATCCAGCTTTATGTATGTCCGTGATTGAAATTAAATAAAATCGTAAGTACTCATTAACGAAATTCATGTCTAAAATAGAAATAAACATGATATCACTTTCCGCTGATGCTGAAGACCACCAAGAAAAAAAGTTATTGCCTTTCTTAGCTAGTAACCTGTAGCCTGAAGCCGAGTTTGTTTGTGCTTAAGGTTTGTACAGCTTTGAATTTAGAAAGGTCATTTTAACGTGCAATGGCTTGCAATAACAAAATACATTTAGCTTCCCGCAGTAGACAACAAGCTCTATATTAATGATTTTCAGTTAAAACAGGTAAGGGTTAAAGCGGCGAGAGTGAAAGAAGTCTGTTTTTGTTTTTTGAACCAAACCGTTTTTTAATAAAATGGCTTTTTTGTTCACATTTGGATTACTATCATCTTCAATCCTAGGTCGCATCTGGCATGCAAAACAAAACGAAAATAAAAATGCAAAAGAAAACAACGATACAAATTATTTAATGGAAATACTACATGCCATGAACTTACTTTCTGATAGTAAGATTGAGTCTAATTTTAAAAACTACTTCATGTTCTCAAAAAAATTAGTAGGAGTAACAAACTTGCAATTATGTTCACAAAATTAAATGCATTATTAAGAAACTGGCGTCGAAATCTTAGCACACACACACATGCATTATTTCATCTAAATTGTTAGTTTCGTCCTAGACAAAATATGTCATAATATAGACAATATTACTTTACACGATGGGTATAATTTTTTTACACACGCACAAGCACTCACACAGAGTAAAATGAAAAAAACAACAACACGTAAAACAACAACATATTCATTAATTGAGTTATAAGTACGTTCATCCAGATTTATCCCTACTGAATACATTGACAACAGTCATACACTAAGCAAGATATACAGAGTAACACGGTATCACTGCAATTATATATTTTTAGTTTTTTACGAATTTATTGTGACTTTTATTTATTAAACTATGTACACCATATTTCATATCTAAATATCAGATTATGTGCACTTTGATGGTAAGGGTGTTGATAGTAATGTTTTCCTGTCACAGCATCGTTTATCAACATATGCTTGTTAATATCATACACTTCTTAAGTAATATTTACACTTGCATGTCTCACAAGTAAAAGGTGTAACAATATTCATACTTGTTAGAACAATATCGGTTCTTCAACACTAACAATCATCATTACTTGGAAAGGAAATGAAAGTATTTAGTATTCAAATTTATCTCAATTGGTTGTTCTAATATAATTGCTTTGTTGCAGCTTCTCCTACTGGTGGCATCTTATTTTCCATTTCAGTCACAGGTGTACGAGCCCTGTGAAGCATCGGCGAGCCTCTTCCAGTCGGACTTGGCAATCTTGGGTCAATCTGGTTCATTCCTGGTAAGTTAAGTTCATTTCCAGTTGACCATGCCTGCTGAACATGGGTTGAATTCGACGATTTGATGCTAGTGCCGAGAAGCTCCGAAACCTCGATGTTCAGGCTGTGTGGTGTAGAGGTAAGCAGAGTGTGCCCAGACTGTGGCCGCGACCATTGTTGACTATCTTCCTTTTCAATCTTCAAGTGATGAGAATTCGCCATTTTTGTTGCAGCCGGTGGGGCGTGGCTATCAGTATGTCTACCCATTATGTTGGTGAAAGAAGCATCCCTGAACGTATATTTCTCCATCGGGGTCTCATTTCCACCCGTGTAATAATGTCCTAAGGCTTTCCATGCAAGTAAAAGAAATATTGATTTATTGATTAATAGTACACTTTAAAACAAAAAGGTATTTAAAAACTGATAATTAACCTTGTTTCGTAATAAAATCTTTAAAATTTAAATATTTGACAAATAAATTTTGCAAACATTACCAAACAAAATTCATATTTGACATAATATATTTTTAGATAAAAGAAATTTACGAAATCAATAATAAAAAGTTAATCAATCAAAACTGTACAAAGATATTTTATTTTCATAAAACAAAAATAAACTTACCCGTTCACATAAATATTAAGCCAAACAAAATGGCGCGTGCGATGTTAAACGTGACAACACGAAGAAGCAGACACCATGCCACACGATATTATTTACACAAGTAGTTATAAAAGTTAGGTTAAAATTATAGCACAATGAGGTAAAAGTATAAAAGTATGTCATCATTCGTTCTCTAGAAGTATTTAGTCGACGAAGTTAAGACCATGCTGCACACGACAAAGTATGGTTAAAAATCATAACATTATACATGTTACATGACACAAATACCTTCTATTAAAAAAGAGAAAATTCCCAGGATATTGTCTATTTGTTATCAAATTTTATCAAACACATATTTTAAGAAACCATCAATCATCACATTTACTATTAAATGCGCGTAAATATATATTACTTTTCTATTTTTCATAATGAATACTATAAGCCTTAGAGAAAAAACTTTTCCAGAGAAATAAATCTTGCATAAATTTATTTCCATAACAATCTTAATGTCCTCATTTAAAAGACCACACGGGTTAAATATAATCGAACATTTTGAAAATAAAACGTGTTCCAGAATTTTTCTACTATATTTTTCATATGTCCGAAACCATTTTTTTTGTAACTGGCGATACAGAAAATGTCTAAGCAGTTCGAATAAACACTTTAAGTTAACATTATAACTTCGCTAAGCGTTATTACACAAGCATTGTAAGCCACAAAAATAAACATACAGTATCATACATACCCGATTTCTTAAACGTTTGATTGAATGCTAGGGGTTTGACAAGTACTGAAAAGAAAACAAAAATTCATTTACTTTATATATTGTATATTGAAACACTTAAAATTCATTATATACATTTTACTTATCAAATAAGAACATTGAGTGGTAAGTTTCATTTTCCAAATTCCTGACAAATATACAGACATATACTTATCAATTCAGCAATGTGCTGTAGCTCATTTTTTGACGATAATAACCCTACGCCCACCTATAAGGTTTCAATTTTATCTACTTACATAAGCTGAACAATAATCTTACCAGGAGAACGTCCTTTATAATTAACCTTTGTTTTCCAGACAACAATGCCACATATAGCTGCTATGACAACCAGACTCATTATGACAATGATTGCAATGAGATGAGCTGCCATACCATCATCGTCTTCAGAACGAGGCTGCTAAAATATAAAACAAAACCAACCAATAAATAGGGCTAAAAGTAAAAACCCATACACCACTTAAAACATGCATGAACCTCCGTAACATTTGTTACATATTTCTCGCAAAAATCTTCTCGCCCAAGGATTGAATCAGCGTCCCCTAGATTACTGACCAGACACTCTTTCTATTATGTAAAGCGGCAGACCTATCGGTGGATTTTAAATACTTTTAGTTCTGAAGAATAAATAATATTGAAGCACGTATTAGGAATGGGTGGAAAATATGTTGTTTGCTGCAGTCTTACCGACTCAACCAGACTGACCGCAATTTTAATCTTACGTTTTGCTGTCATTGCTTTTAAAGACAACCACATGTTATAATCCCATTAAATGTCCTACAACCTTGTAATTATTCGGCCTTCACTTTTATTCAAAACAATTAACAGTTTAAGAATAAAAACATACCTTTAAATTGCATAGACTTATTTTTTTGAGAATAACAATGAACACATATAAGCAACAATCGTAGAGACTGTTTGCCAAACTTTTTACTCTTATTCACCAATTGCAGTATCAATTTTTCAGGAGTTAATGCATTTAAATCTAGGAATTGGAACATACATATGATTTTCATTTCGAACAACATTCGTTATTTAACTATTTGTTGTTAAATGTAATCTCGTTGAATTTGATGACCAAAAGAATTATGCTATTTGTGCACAGTAAAGCATTTTAAGCCGGTGTGTTTTCTTAATTATATGATATTTCACAAATGATCTCGCCATATAACGCACAGCATCATTATATTAAATTAATAAAGCTGCGCAAAAACAATTAAGAATAGAATATGGTGATATTCAACTTAAATAATAACATTTATGATTGTAACAAATAAAAATTCTTCTTTACCTGTTCCCCGCATTTCACACCATAATACTGCTCGTTGTTTACTGCCATGTATGGCGAAAGTGTAAGGCTTTGACCGTTAAATGTAAATGAAGTTTCATTTTGTATACTTCCACAAAGACTCTCCACAGTTTCTTCTACTGAAGATGTCGGCCCTTCTACGACAAACGTTACGAGAATACTTCCTAAAATCAAAGAATTTAAATGAAGGGAATTTAAAGCCACAAAGTGCTTTTACAAAGTATAAGTATACAAAAAAAACAGACACAATCTAGATCAAAGATTGAGTATTTTGTTACACAGCCAGTGAAGCACCACACGGACATATTAAAACGAAATCACACAACAAAGTGATAAATGTAAACCAAGAACAAACAAAAAAAGTGTTGTACGGTAATCACGCAAGCAAAGACTTATTGTTATATTAAATGTTTTTTTTTTACATTCCAACAGCTGTCTTCCCTTGCAAAAGTATCAAGCAATAGTATCTCTTTTGACTACTGAAACAACATGTTTCATTAGCTGCTACGGTTTCGTTACGCAATGATGAAAATTTTATAAATAGTTTAGAAGACATTAACATGGCAAGTAAACGAAATTATAACATAATGTGTTTACAGACATAAAGGAATGCAATGATACTGTAATACTATGCATTAACGGTTTGTTTTCTGTGGTGGGGTGGAATTAAACGCCATACCAGCACAGAAGAGTTCATACGGCGACTTTTAAGCTTAAAATATTGAAAAAAAACAAGTGCCCGTCCTTGCATTATTTCAGATACGAATGGGTAGCTTATAAGAAGTCCAGTATTTAAAAGAACCCTTAGAATTGTTTGCATGTACCTTCACTAACATAACCACCTTTAAAGTGGACATCACGGAATTGATTGGCAAAGTATGTAATTATCATCTGCTCAAACTCATTTTGATCATCTTCTGTCGCCAAGACATCGGCAAAATCAGCTTCGAACATTACCTGTAACACGAAATTTTACGTGTATTCCTTTAATTTATATTAAAGATAAGATGATAAGAAATGTATTGTTTAAAGATGAAACACAATTTCCTTCTTTTCGAAGTACAATGCTATATGGACAGAACTAAAGAAACTGTAATTGTATGTAATTTTCTCAAATTGCTAAAAACGTGTATGAAAAGTTTCACTTGTTGTATTTTTCTTTATGCGATGTGTTAAAATCATAATTATGTGTCTATAACTTTTAACTATATGCTTCGTATATACATTGCATACCTTAACTTCGTATTCTTTCTCCATTGGCATTGTCAAGTGTGTTATGTCTTTAACAACGGCCTTATAATTCATTGTCAAATCGAAATCTGGAGGATTTGACACTGCACGAAACTTTATATAGTATACTCCAAAGCCTGTGAATTCAAGATCTGGAAACATTGCTTTACCGGTGGTGGTGTCAAAAGCAAACGAGGTGAATCCTGATAGATCAGAGTAAACAGAACTACCGAGAATAGTTGCAGAAGCCGTCCAGGTATGATCCTGTAAATGTACATGTGTTATGTTTAAGTTAGCCTGCCAAATTCAAAATAAAGTATTAAACTGCATAAAACATTCACAATAAAATTTTCAGATATTTTTTTTTTCTAATCAGTGCACATATCTAAGAAAACTAAAAACATAGTATCAGTATTAATTTTCGAACAATCAATTGAAAGTTTAAACGGAACTTCATGATATAATGAAATGATATGATATTTACATACCCTCCATGCAATATCACTGATTATCTCCTCTGTATTGGCGTCTTGAAGATCTAATGTGATAGAGAAACTAGACCCACTTACAATATCTCCACTACTTTGATCATGTATATGTAACTGAACAGTACGTCCGGGTACATCGAATTCGGATGAAGCAATTAAGAATGATTCTGCTTGAACTGGGTAAGATACGTTAAACTCAAGTATGTAACCTGTTCCCATATGTGAAATTGTTAAATCGGTAAAGTTAAACCAGCCATCAACAGCTTCGACAGTTACTGTGCCCCCTAGAACGGCATTAGAGTGACCTGTACCAGTGCGTATTGTTGCGGTGAGTTGCCATGGATATTCAGCTGTACCTAGCACCGTTACTATATTATCCTAAAATAGGAAAGAAAATTGCTTTTATCATTATTATAAATAAGTAGAAGTAACACGTTACTTTTTACGTTTGTTATTTATGTAATGCATTTATAACCATTAAGATATAAGACTAAATCTATATACAACAACAAGACATTTATAGTTACTGTAATTATTTTAGATATATACATGTTGACTTAAACAAAGCCGTTGTTGTAACATAAAATATTTCTGATTATGTTATTAAATAATTTGTGTATAAATGTTGAAATTGACGTAGTAATATGCTTGAAAATAATTTGCTGATTCATAACGCATGTAAAATACTAAGTCACATACTGTTAATATTGTAACACTTAAATGAATATTCTTCAAGAATAACAGACCTTTTATCGAGATAAATAATAAAATAAATATATAGATACATATACCCCAATATCTGCCACGCGAAGTTTCGGCTGCACCGTCAATAATATTCCTTCCTGTGTCGCCGATGGTTGCTCAACGACAATTAAATGATCAGGAGTTTGGGGTATGTACTCTATAGAATCTATTTCGGTATCTAACGACGGTAAAACGACAGATTCGCATGAGCCGCTGATATTGAACGCACTACTTATATCTCCAACTTGACATTCATTTACGAGATCAGCAGCAATTTGCGTGAGATCGTCATATGAGAGAGTGTCATCCGCAGTTCCGTTCAATTCTGTATCAAAACGGACGTTATATATAAATAATAATAATCATATAAATATCATAACATCAGTTTCCTTTTATACAATTCGACGGGGTACAATGTCAAGTATTTCTGCCTTAATTGATTATCAACTATTAAGAATGTTATGTACTTATGACTTTTGCTTCATTTTTTATTGCTAAATTGGGATTTCAACGACACCGTTAGCATGAAAACAAAAATAGTTTTATAAATGAAATTAAAACTCTAAAACAACTAAATGAATGATTATTTTTTCTAAGCTTAAAAACTGCCGATGTTTATAAAAGAGATCTAAAATATTCCATATAAACCTTTAAGAACACAGCAAACAGTACCTCCTCAGAATACCAGAATTACTTCAAACTGTTAGCATATGCCTGTAACTATTACCTGATTGTGCATCATTACCCACTTCAATGACAACTGATATTCCAGAGCCAGTAGACCTTTTCCTTCTTGTCAAGCTAGTCTCTGAAGTCACACTCATGATTTTTACTTTGTCATATGGTATGTTTAAAAATGTAGCAAGATTTTCTACGATGTTTTCTCCGAAAAACTCGTCAACGGTAAGATCAGGCAGCCCAAAGGTTACGATGACAGACTCAATGGTAATCACATTAATAGGTGTTTGACCTTTGATGATAAAAGTAAGTTCTCCACTGTCCTTGTCAAAGAGGTTGGTCCCCGTAACATTGGCAATTTGAGGATAGAATTCATTTCCTATTAAATAAAATAGAAATTCATAAGATAGTAATCAAATAACAATATATTATATCCAACCAACTAATTCTAAAACCATACACATTTCCATTTCGAAGTTCTCAAGATGTTAATATGATGCATTTTTTCACTATTAGCTTGAAATATGGAAAACGATAGACCAACCAAGAGCAATGAAAACAAAACAGTTTGAATCTTAGAACTGAATACATGTTCTGTTCAATAATGGAAGGTGCAACATCTCTCACATTCGAAAGCACGGTAGTATCAAGAAATTTCAGCCAGTCAAATAAAAGCAAACACACACAAAAAGACGGAAAGTAAGAATGGTATTAAGTATACTTTTTTATTCGGCCATGCATACTTATGTATGCATTGAAAGATACTAGTTAAGGTTAAAAAGAGACAGGATAAAATGTTTATATGTGTCTCAACATACATATGTGTTTATATATATGCAGCGTTATATTTCAAATATATTTTAATTAACACAACTCATTGTTACACTAGGTAATTAAGTAATCTTGGTGTACTTTCCTTCATAATATAATATATTTATACATTTATATATAACAAAATACCTGTGGCCCTTAGAATAGCAAGTTTTCCATTTTTGTCTGTGCCAGTGTTTGTTGACCTTACAAGTGTGTTGTCAGCATACACATCTTTCCTGTTCCTCTCAGCATACCAGAATCTAATCTTTACACCTTTATCTTCATCAGTGTTTAATAAACGGAATCGTAAATGTTTCGGCGCTTTACTTGTCAAATGTATCAAAAACTCTTTACCTATTAATCAAAGAATAATGTAAATTCAGTGTACGGGATCATAAAAACATACTTAATATACTATGCTGTAATATCTTTTTGTACGTTTTATTGAGGATGAATTGTAATCCAAGAACTCTGTCGAACTCTGTCTTCACTGAAAGGAGTTTGACCTGTGAAATCCGGACAAGATTGGACAGAAGACGGACGAATAGAGAGATGGCAAGGGAAAAAAAATGTCTTCCTGAAATGTTGGGAGATGATAATTCATATACATCACAAGTGCCATTATGGTCATATGCCAAGTAATAAGCGAAATAACATATAAGCTGCATTAATGCAAAAATTTGTTTTAGTTTCATCTTAGAATTTAAGTAGTGCAGCACTTCGTTTTGTGCAATTTCTTCGTTCACACAACAGGCCATTTAAGAACTCGGGCTTTTACTTCTAACTCAAAATTGCTTTAAAGACATTACTCACATCTAATAACAAAATTGTCATTTTACTAATTGTTATATGTGTTTTGTTAAGTTAAATGTATTAAGATAGTTATCAATACTTTTTTTCTCTTCATCCATTGTTATTTAATGAATGTCCATTGTCACTTTAACGCGTTGACAACCATCCCCTATCAGCTTTACTGTCCTCATTGTCATAAGATACAAAGATCCAAAAGTACCACTTAGTCAATATACTTATTAAAGATAATAAGAATAATTTACCTGTCGCAACTATTGCAAAGAAAGTTGACAACCTCTTCCTGCATGTGTACCCAAAACACCAGCCGTGATCTTGAGGACCATTCAGTAGGTCAATGTAACCATCACCAAGGACAGCGACAGGGGACAGACGCCGCGTCTCTGTATCCTCGTCCATACTCTCGATAACGAGCATCTCATAATTTACACCGTTTGCTGTACACGCGTATGCTTGCCAACCGTTGTGATAGGTACAGTCATTATTTCCAATAATACCTGGCATTTAATAAGAATCAGATAATAACATTTTTTGTCGTCTATAAAATTACCGCATTTCCTCAAGATTACAAACACATTATTTTTTTTGATAATTTACTTAAATATCTTTGCCAGTTGTGTAAGACTAAACTCTATAATTATATAAATTGTAACAAGATAATCCATGTCCTGAGAATGGAATGGATAGAGTACAGTGCTTACAGTCAAGTCGTTTTGATCGACTGCAGTCCTATGTTGGCAGCCAACAGCATATAATCTGGTCTGACTGCATTGCAAAACGAATGACATGTCTAAATATTTATTTCCGGGATTGACAGGTCATGATAGCCGCAGCCGCAAGTAATTAGAAAGGTAAAAATATTTGTTTCTCACAATATCATAGGCACTTTGAATAACATGCAAAAGATTAAATACAAAGCGTGAAGTTGTCATTTTAATTTAATATCGTCGAGTCAAAATAACCTAGTATACATAAATTGGCAAGGCTAATATGTAAAATAATGCGTCGTCAATTGATTGTGCAATTGATTTTCAATTGCTTCAATGAAGGATATTGTATTATAAGAAGAATAAATATGTGGTTTGCCTTTTCTTGGAGCAATGTCTTGCACAGATAACCTGTCACCGTTCTGATCGCTTAGCATAGTTTTCGGAATTCTGTAATCTCCAAGTCCACGTCTCGGATCACCATCCCATTCCCACTGAGATTGTGGAATGATAGAGCCAACAGCTCCAATAAGGGTTCCGTCCAGATCTTTGACAAGTACCTTCTTATGTCCGTCACACTCCATATCTACACAGTCGGCGCCATTTATCTTTCTGTATTAAATTCATGTGTCTCATATTAACAGTTATCTAACAAGTTTATTGTACGCGTATAGAATAACTTACAGTAGCAATTTTAACACAGACTATGTAATTATCATAATAAGATATTGTCATGTACATATAAACGAGGTTAATTTTCATGAGAGTTTGGTCACATACAGGCTTGGTGCAAAGTACATGAAAAAATCAGTACATGAAAAAATCAACAGAGCAACCGAATGAGTTGTAATTAACGGTCGCTGGTTAGATTTTCTGGTGGAGCGAGATCTTTTTATAACAACTGAACACAGACATTTAGTGTGATAGTCATTTGACTCTCACCGTTAGATAATCGTGTAGTTGTCGGTCACTTCGAAAAGAAAGTGGTAATTACTTGCTAGTAATGCAGGAAAGTCCGATAGGTTGACAAACCGCCGAGATATGACAAATAGTTTATTAAAATCCGTGGTGAAACAAACAAGTAAAACTAATAGATATTAACAATTTGAAATTATGACTTAAATATTGAATATAGTTACCTGTTTTTTACGTACAATAGGAATTTATCAAGGTAACTTGATTTAGTGTTCGAGGTAAAGTTTCATTTTTGACATATTTGTAATACAAACGTTGCATCAAAATTTACAAAAAGGACCAGGTACAATAATCTACTTTGATAACAAAATGATTGGACTTGCTTTTCTCAAATAGGCATGCAATTTTACACAATATTATACATTTCAAATGGTATATAAGTACATGTATATGGTCTTACGCAACATTTGGTCTATGGTTGAAATATCTGTTGCTCTCATCTACATCTAAGAAGACTGCTTCAGTCGAATGAGTGGGGTGCGTCAAGTCATCAAAGTCGCTATTTGTAGAGACTGCATATGAAGGTGGGCACGTGCTGTTCTTGTATTTTGCAAATGTATTATTATGTAATATTGTCATTCCACCAATAGTTTGGTACGACATACTTCCTGGCCAAGGATGACTCGGAAGACCATTATTTTTACTAGCAAATGCTGGCAAAGTTATGCCAGAGTTCGGTCCTTTTACACGCGCGTTAGAAGAAAGAATGTAATTATGATCATTTGTTGGAGTCTTTACTTTATTGCAATTAAAACTGTTTGTTATGCCAACAAATGTATTTTTGCGCACAGTGACAGTCTTATCTGCGTACTCATGACTAAGTGATGGTGGTTGTAAAACTAAAGCGAAAAGAGCGTGTTGGTTTTCAATAAGGAAATTATTCTCAGCTAAATAGCATGGCTCATTTTGATAATAAATACCAAAGTCATGAGATCTCCAAACTGTGAAATTCGATATTTTCGCACATCCTGTGACGGAAAGAGAATCCCTAAATTCTACTACAACTCCCCCGAGGACGTTTGAGTACGCTTTGTTGTTTTCGTAGTGTCCAAGATAGTCGTCTGTGTTGTGAGGAGGAACGTGGTAACCAATTCTCTCTGATGCTGTGACAAGATTATATTTAAGAATTAGTTCTGTAGCAGTCATAGCTTCAATGCCACTGTTTGATTCGAAGTCGTACGCTTCAAATCTGTTTTGATATGAGGCAGTGCTAATCACTAGCACCAGCAAATTGTTGATCAATCGGGTGTCACGGGAAGTGGTAACTAAACCTGAAAAGACATAAACAAATTGATCAATAACGATGAAAATTAAACTGATAAACAAAATGTGCTTAGCAGTAAATAAAACAAACAGTCTTTGTCTTATTGCATTGTATTATGATTGTATTATATCTAGGGGAAAATGTACATGATGTTTATTACAATCTTGATTTAGTTAGAACCATCTGAATTAAAACTATCATTAGAGATGAATAGAACCTCCATCAACCACATTAACAATTAAAAAAAATAAGTGGTCTGAAGCAAGTTTTAAACTTGACCAATATTTCATAATGCTACGTTTGTGTACTAATAACTATTAATCCTCTCCTATCATTAGTTTGTTTTGAAAAGAGAAATAACTAAGTAAAGAAAATAAGTATTCTGAAACCACTTTGGGACGAGACATCTAATGATAGCGGGTTTCATCAAAAAGAAAATTTACAAAAACTTGAGATTGAAGGCTTACATCAAACTATATTTGATGGATGTATAATAAGATGTTTTAGACAACACCTAGATTGTGTGAACAAATTAAGGCAATTGTGAAAGACTTGAATGAACTGAGAAACTTAAATATTTTGAGTTCTTAGTTTGTTTGTATCATTAAAATTCCCTGCCTAATAAGGAAGTTATATTTATAAAAAATAAAACAAATTGAAATTTATTCCAAGTTTAAAATGAAAATATTCATGCAAAACTAAGCACCAGACTCATGAATTTAATCACATTTGATGAGGGAGTTGATAATGAACTTATATTTGAAATAATTTGAAATTTATCCATGACAAAAAATAAGAAAGAATAGATAAGAAAAAATTCAAAGTAAAAAGAGGAATAATTCTAGAAATATTGACCCTATATTTATGAATCATGTCTGTAAAATTATCACGATGTGGTAGTTTGAAGTGTGAAATAAATACTTTAAAAATGAAGAAAGTTGAGTAAAAAAAATAATTGCTGGCTCTATATGCAAAGGCATATAATTCTGGAAAGAGTGACGCTAGAGTATTGAATCTTGATCTTGATAAAAACACGAAGTTGAAGTAGATACCTTAATAAAAAGAAATTTCAGAAAACAATCAACTTTTTTCTTATATTTTTAACTTAAACATGTTAATTCTGATAATTTAGGTGCTAGGGTTATGTACCTTGCCACGTATGATTTGTGTGATGATAAAATTACATATTTGAAGTAAATACATTAAGAAATAAAGAAGTTAAAAAAAATGTTTGAAAAATCAAAGTTCAAGATGGTGGGAAATTCTGATAACTTTGGTCCTACAATTATGAGCCTTCCCATATAAGATGTGAAATAAGTTTGAATTGAAAACCTTAAGAAATGAAGAAGTTAAATGAAGGAGATTAAACTGCATAAAACTTTAATCAGAAATCTTGAGCATGTCGTTAGCCTGAAAGCTCTCAATATACTCCCTAAAGTTGAACTTAAAATGATGTGTAATGATGTATAATATCCATACTGCCACAGTTTATAAAAATATGTTTCGTACTTTTTAGTTATCAAAAATATTGTTATATTTGCTATATCTTAAGTCTATCTGTTACCATAAAAACCGAAGTTTTCATTATTGGAAGGAAATAAGACGTCCATAATCTGGAAATTGCCATCTACATATATTTCTAATTTCATTCATTTAGTACTTTTGGCGTTATCACGGAATCCAGATTTTGTGTTATATTTGCTGTATTATATGTCTATCTGTTGCCACGGTGACCAAACGTTTCAACATAGAAAGACAAAAAGACGCGTTTAAGCTCCAGACTGCCATCTACCAATAGTTCAAGTTTCATAAATATTTTAAGTACTTTTTGCTTTATCATGTTTATCATGTAATCAAGTTTTTGTGGGCGGACGAACTGACTGACGGTTAAACACGCAGGGGGTTAAAAATGCGGCAAATTTAAGATCAATTTGGTTAACTCTCGCATATCCTTTAATATATTTTATTCTTTAAATACATACAAACATTTGTTTCCTTTAATTTCTTAGTCAGTTTATCAGCTTTCAAGACTACATAAAATTCTATTGCATTAAGAAGGACTCTACTCAGACCATCAAAGTACGTTGAAAGCATCTTTTATTTAAATTTACAAAAACAAATACATAGATTACCGTTGCCAACTGCCCCGAAAATAACGTTGTTCGTAACATTTAAACTTCCGGCTCCATAAACACCAATCGCTGTGTTGAAGCCATTGTGGAAGGAACAGCCAGTTACACTTGAGGGTTTTACATCACTTACATCCCCAACCGCTAAGAACGCTAAGGAATATCTCGGATCAAAATCGTCAGTATAGCCCTCCTGGCCGGTATGATAGAATTCCACATAAGACAATCTTGCGTAACCTTAAAGAAATATGAATTAAATGATTTAACGCTTTAGCCATGTGTTAATATATTTTAAGAAGTACGTTATTTTAATATAATGCATTAAAAACTAAGATAGAAGAAATAGAACTGAAAAAATAACAAATATCGAAATGACCTCATAATTCCTTCCATGGTTTCAATTATTCAATGTGGCGACAATTAAGTATACTAGTTAACATGTATATTTTTATTACTTTATATTGTACTTTACCTGTAGATATTATTATCTATTTAAAATGCAATGATATTTTCATGCAGTATATTGCAGACTTAATATTCTAAGGTAAATGTTCTATTGAGGTAAATAAGAGATATAAAACAACCTTAATCTTACAATAACATTTATTTTACTTCGTCAATTATCCCACATTAATACATAAATAAAACATCATATATAAATGAACATTCATTACCTGTACATGTTTGTCCCTCATTTGTCAGTAGACCAACCAAAACGCGGGCGCCGTATGACTCCTCATACAGATCATTATAATCCTGTCCCATTATCTTTATATTGTGAGATAACAGGCCAACAGCACCGCCTACTTTAATTTCTTTACCGTTCGTGAGTATCTCATGGTGGGCTGAATAAACATGATTAATTTCGTACCAATAAATGATGAAATTATTACAGAAAGGGGCTATAGTATAGTATGCATGTACGAAAAAATATAACAAAAATAAGCACAGAAAGATTAAAAATTGATAATTAATACCTATACAAGACTACTTTCTTCCAGGGATATAAATAGTTTATAGTAAGATACTAAAAGTACATATTTTAAGACATTCTTAAAGTATATAAACAAAATGAAATATGCCTGCAGACAGGAATGAATATTCAATCTATATCTTTTTAAAGTAATAATTTTTAAAAAGTTATTGTATTTCCATATTTGAGCGTTTTATTATATTATGAATGGCAATCCCGAGATTTTTAAAGGTACATGAAGACTGTAACTAAATTAAAAAGTTAAAACATGATAAAAAAAAGAGTGTTTTACCGGTGTGCTCAAATCTTAACGTTCCATTCAATGACAATTTGACTCGGTCATTTCCTATTAATTCACGGCTAGTTATTTTAAAAGATTCTGTATGCCATGGATCAAAATCAGTTGAGGCAATAACAATGTCATCACCCGCAAGCCACTCGACTGCAGCACCAACTGTGACAGTGTTTGAACCTTCCGGGGCTGTTTCAGCTAACTCTGTCCAGGATATTGCTGCTTTCTTCCCATGTAAATCAAGGCCTCCAAAAACACCTGTATTATTACAATTCAAAATGATAATCTTGTACCATGTTCATAATAGTACACAGATGGGTCATATTGCGACTTTTCAGCTTTACTTGTGGTGGAGGTCATCATGTACTCTTCCGTGCAGTTTTGCAGGCACCACGAACGGGCACCTTAGTGGAACCAGCGACGTTACGTAGGGTAGCTGGATAATTTTCTCACATGAAAGAATCCAAAATCCTTGTTTCAAACCCACCAGCAATAACGGGCAAGTATTTTGAAATCAACAACCTTAACCACTCGGCTACAAACCCCCATGTTCATAACATGTTGAGGTGAAAAATATAACAGGATCATAAGTAAGCTTATTAACATTATTCATTTCTTACATTTATGGTATAAACATCGCACATTTTCTCATATTACGTTGTCTACCTAGATCTGTAGTTATCATGTCCTTACCTATGGCTTTAGAGCCTAGAACGGGGCCATCACCAACTATATCAAAGTTTGGAGACGAGTGGTTTCCATTCAAAATGATAGTTGCTAGACCATCAAAAGGATTATCAGGCCAACCAATAAGAAGACGTCCGCCGCATGTGATAAATATAATGTCCGCTTCTAAAACATAGTTCGCTCCCGGTGCGTCGAAGAATTCAAGAACACCCTCAAGATATAATATTCGAAGATTTATTTGGTACGGTGCCGTCTTGTTGACAACCACCCACGTTTCTGTAAAGTTTTGTAATTGAATGCCATCACATTTGTTTACGCATATTTCTTTTAAATCATTGTTTATGATTACTAACACGTAAGTTTAAAATTTTGAATATATCTATAATTGTAAAATATCAAAATAATTGACTTATTGAGTATCTGCTTTATTCTTGCTTAAACTACTTATGTCTCGATATTTATTTCATTTATTACTTTACATACTATATTACTAATTTGATAAGTAATTTGTTTTCATGATCTTATTTCATAAACCATTGTACTAAAAGTATAATGTGCAAGTATCCAAATATAACCTACCGGTAATTATCTTAACACTATCGTACGTTTTTGGTATTCCGTACATTCCTTCCAGACCAGCGCTGTTCGAAATAAAACCGTCTTCGGTTGCGTTCCACATCGTCAAATTATCCCAAAGATAAAATGGATTTTGTCTTTCGTCAGCAGGTTCTTGAAAATCTTTATCAGGCGGCGGTATACAATCAGGGTAGAAACACTTGTATGCCGAGAAATCCCATGGTCTATTGACACTAGTCGATGTATCCGAGTCACGTTGCTTTGCAGACACTGAATCGATCCGGTTATAACATGTATAATGCATTTATTACACAAATATATAATGTAAAATATACATATTCAATTTTTTATGCCACAAAAATATACATACATGCTTTTGGTATAATTTAAAAGCTGACACTTCGAAAAAATACTTCATATTACATTCAATAATGACCCACCCTCGCAATGTCCGTTAAAAATCTGAAATTACGAAAATTGGGTTAATTATATAATCTATACAAAATAGTTCTATCCTGATTTCACATTTAAACAACAAACAATAAAATGATTGTATTTTGTTTAATAACAAAATCAAATTTACTATTGTAAATTCGGTATAATTTCCTTGCGTACATTTCATTTATACATTTATTCATAATAACAATTACCTATAAACTTTATTTTATTGTCTTCATATACGTAGTCTCCGTTTTTCGATGTTGCTGGATTAATTGATTCAGATGCATTGATGATTGTTTTACCTCCATCAATAGAAAATCTGTCCGGTTTTTCTGCTGCTTCAATGATAATTATTACATAATCTTCATCCTGAAAAAAAATACAAATGAAAAAAAATTACACATCATAAGGCATAAAAAAATCAAAATAATCATTTTTAATCATTAAGAAACATGTACAATATGAACAATCGATAAAAATTCACTAGTGTTTTTTCCATCTTTTCTAATTTTAGAGCATTTGTCAATATAGTCCCCATTATTACTTTTTTGTATAGATAGTTATATTGATAATAAATGTAAATGAAAATTTACATCTTGCATAACATGAAGTTTATGTTAGTTGTAAATCACTCCTAATAGCATCACAACAAAATGTTTTTTATTTATTAAGGAGAAAATTCCAAACAGCGATAGTGTGAAATAATAAATGTGAATAACTATTTAGAAAAAAAAAATACCTGAAAGTTTTCAAATACGGCCTTGAAACTAATGTTGAATATCTGAGGAGACTGTTCAAATTTCATGGTGTATGTGAAACCGTCTTGAAGAGTGCATACCCATCCAGCCGGATGTGTCAATCGTTTGTCTGCAAAGTGGCAGATAGTATCGCCGTAATCATTGGTTATAATGACTTTTTGCCCTGCTAAAGAACTAGGAGAAGGTTCGTTAAATGCAAACCTGTGGAAATTTTTGTATATAGCTGGACACATGCTTGCGGATCTCTTCCCATGACTATATTCGGTAGCGTCGATGCATTCATTCGGAAGTCCACCTGTTGTTGGAACGACGACCCAGTCAGCATCTTTGTCAATTAAGATGCCTTCATGACGCCAATCGAAAGCACCCTTTTTAGGAGAGTTGACAAATGCAAGGTTTTCCAAATGGTACGTGTATGCGCCACATAAATCGCTACAAGTTCCATCAATTCTGGTAAATCTAAAAGCTACGCAGTCTGAGTATGCAAAGTTTACGAATGTTACATTGAGTACTCTAAATCCTGGACCGTACGCTAAAATAACGCCACCATATGTGCAATCCTCATTTTTACCTGCTACCTCTGACGCGTGTGCAGAAATAACACTGTCAAATAAACCGGCAGAATTAGCAGTATACAAAGGTGAACCGATTGTCTTCTTTCCTTCGAAACCAGCTTTAGAGTTATTTACGAGTATTAAGTTTATGAATTGTAAAGCACCGCCATTTACATATTCAACCCCCTTCTCGTTGTTCCATGCAAAAAAAGCTCTAAACACTGCCGGCTCTACCTCTGAAGAGGCATCATATGGGTCCAGTTGTGGAAAATACTCTGGAAAAATCCACAGGCCAAACCACCCGAAGCTATGTGCGGAATTGTTGTAGAAAATACCCAGTGGAGTTTTTATTGGAAAAATTGATTCATTGTAAGAAGGTCCGTCTGGATGATCATGCATTCTGTACCAGAATCCAAAATGAGTCCCACCAGCTGCCGCGTTGTGCTGAATGATGTTATTTGGATTGGTTACCCAGAAGGAAGCAGGAGTTATGTCATCATTCAGAAGACTGGAGCTTTCCCTCGTGAAAACTACTAAATTGTACTGAATTATATTTTCCGTTTCAATACCATCTTCAAAGAAGAAAGAACCACCCATTACATTATATGCGACGTTATGCTCTACTAAAAGATTATGAGTGCCGTGAATATTTATCGCTCTATTAAAAGTTTCATGGATGCTGCATCCTCTAACATAACTTCCGGTCATGTTTCCATTCATGTGGAAGTGTATTGGATATCGACCTAGTCTAAATGCTTGTCCAGCAAATGTGACCTCAACATAAGAGAGATGTGCTGATACCTTATTGGTCGTATTTTGAGGAGCGTGGAAAAGCATCATACCACCAAATTGACTACTCCCTGTCTCGTCACCAAATCTCCCTTGAAAGCAAGTCTGGGTGGCAAACTCACCTAGCCAACGTAAATGTCATATATTACATATATGAAAATTCAACATGATAAACATTCCATATAATTCATATGAATAAAATGTGGTAAACTTTTCCAGATACAAGTAATTAAATATGCATTAAGAGAACTCATTCGACAAGCAGTGAAGACTCCATACGTATGCGAAAAATGTTAATGTGGAAGATAAATATTTGTCATGTGCTTGCTAATGACTAATGCTCTTTCTGTTTAAGTCGTTGTTTTGATGCATGTTAGTTCCAAAATCTTGCCAACTAAAGTAAAGCATTTTAAGTGACTTCATGCCTATTCAAGTGTTTATGGAAAGAATACATGTAAAAGTGAAAATAATCTTACATTTTGCCCATTTGTTTTCAATTTCATATTCTACTTAAAATGACCATTCAATAACCACTGTGGTATACGTTAATCTATAAATATCCTTTACAATGGATTGGTAACGCTATACTGAGAGACAGTCTTATATTTTAAACAATCCTTAGCAATTATACATGTAATTATGAATTATTTGTCATTCAAAATTGAAATAGTCAATCTTCTAAAATATGTAACTTTCTCCCCCTATCCCAACTTAATAACTACAATTAAAGAAATATCATTTTTGAAACCTCTTTGATGTGCTAAAGACTCACAGTGAGTTATAATGAAAGGTGCCTCTATAATAAGAATCGATTCCGATAGCAAATTAAAGGTATCCGGCTCTAAAACAAAGTAAACTTTCGAATATTTTCAAAGAAAATTAAAGGAGATTCACAAATGTGTAAATGGTTACTAAATTAATTATTGACATAATAACAAATAATATACCTGTATCAAATCCAGCTTCGCAAGCTTCTATTTCATCTTCCCATTGAGAATCAGCTTCACCTCTGACTACAACATTATGCGTGAGAAGGCCAACTTCAGCTCTAAATTCTACGGTAGTGCCACCAAGTTGTGTAGATGTTCCCAGGTGAGTATATTCTAGGTTAGACTCTAGAGTCAGTGTTTGTTTATCAGCGGATATCTGACTGATCTTCATCTTCTCATTTTCTCTTTGCGAATGTCTCTCACCGGTTGATGCGATGATAATATCATCATTTATATTCCATTCCACTGGATTCTGTAATCGGATGGTATTTGACCCAGCCAACGCTGTCTCGGCCAGTTTCGTCCATGTAACTGCCACGGGTTGGCCTGTAAGTTAAAAACAAATACTAGTTTAAATACTAGTTGGAACTTATTTGATTAAATATCGGATGCTTGTTTGACACTACCTTTGTATTATAATCGTCTTTGCTATACCTGGAACAAGAACGTATAAACAAATTGTTTCCGTTCAATACACATGAGAAGTTCGATCATAGTTGAGTGTTAAGTTATCGAATGAATTAAGAAAAGAAAACTGTAAAATAACCTGTCATTACTAGTAATCAAATTAACTTTATAATGATTATTTTCTTAATTTATGTTTAATTGACTTTTCGCAGACCTGTTTTTCATCTAAGATAAACAATTATTTTTATTTGGTGCAGAAAAAAGATAAATATCTACTACTATTTGTTTTTATGCAAACTGTAAGACACACAAGAGCTTGATTTCAATATGAAAAATAAAAATTTTCTTGACTGTAATTTAATTGTAACACGTGAGCAAAGTGACTTCTAACAGAAAGAAAGAATCAAACAGACAAATAAACTCACCATGCAATTCAACAGTCCCGTTTCTGTTGGCCAGCACTTTTGTTCCATAGATAGGTGTTTCTTTGTCTTTAACATGACCAATGAGAGTAATGATACCTTTGTGCTGGAAAGGTTCGGATTCCGTACCAATCTGTAGATGACCACCATCAGTTATCATGATAGATTTAGACTTCAACTCTATGTCTTTCTCGTCAAATATAAGTTTACCTCCTTCAATATAATATCACAATTAAAAGATCTTATACATGTAGTAAAAGCGGTATTTTGATCACGAGAAACAAGTGATATTTATGTTAACTAGTATCTTTGCAAAATGATATTATAGCATTAAGTCCAGCCAAATTTGCCGAACCATCGACGGAAGGAATTGAAAATAAAATGTAATTAAAATTAATTTTCAATAAGATACTACTAAAGTGTTCAATGGTGCAAACGAAAAATGTACATTATCATATTTTTTAGGCTTTAAAGGAACTCAACTTTAAGACTAAAAACTTTAAAACATTAAATTTAAATTTCTTACAGAGATCAACAAGGGCACTTAAAACAGAATTATATGCAAAACGATAATTGCGAAATATCCTCAGGTTGAAATAAATTAAAATTCTTTTTTGTGCTGTTCTTAGTCTAAATGAGTGCAAGGCGTTGAGTTATTTTCCACAATTTAAATAATACTTCTGGGAAAATAGAGTGAGCAAATGGTGTGAATTTTGCATACAAGCTATTGAGCTAGATCGACATCTATTGGAACATTTATCTCGAAGAATTATTTCCAATCCTGTCATGTCAAATAACTCAGTACAGTCCCTTTAATATTGTAACGAAAAAGTTTAAGCTGCTGAAGCTGTGGTTTAATAGTGTTGGTTTTAGTATGTTATTGTGTTATTTTCAGAATAATAATAGATTATACCTTGTATAAGAAGGAAACCCAACACAGGGGTATCTGTGTCAAGCAACAGTGTCATGCCATCTGGAATAACGACGAAATCGCCTTCCACGGGTGGAGGATTACCTTGCCATGTGTATTGCGATGACCAAACATCTATATACGTCCATGCTGAACAATTTACAGTCTCCTGGAATACAAACGGAAAAAATGTTATAATTATTAAATACTCAAAGAGCAAAGAGGCACTTAAACATTCAAACATTTGTTATGTCATGACTTCTCATTTTACAATTACAAGAAATGTTTGTAAAACATGTATGCTTCCCCCTCTTCAGCATGACAATAGTTGTATGCAATATTGATTGGAAACCGTTTTGTCATACAAGACAGAAGAGATTTTTACTTTCAGCTCTTAAACAACAATTCAAAAGTACATTTACATTGTATGTAAAACAATTTCCTAACAATAAATCAACATAACCTGGGGCATTGGTCCAACATCTTCACAGATGCATTGGTCTTTTGATTTAGGGCTCAAGGGGTCAAATATCAAGGTCACATTAACATTTTGTAATTGCATATAATAAACGGTTTCCAACCAATAACGCAATAACATACGTGCTATTGGCCCTCAATCTTTGGCCCAGGCGTTATTCATCGGAAACGATCTGATCTGAGGACCGCCAAAATGTGTAAAAAGCAACGTACCCTCGCTTCTTCGAGGGAAGAAATGATAATATACTAGTCTATACCCGTATATTAGCGTTTTTTTTCACAAAAAGATTACAACATACTGGCATGGAATAATTGGATTTTCGCATTTTCGTTCTTTTGTAATCGGTCAGATAATATACGTAAGGTAGATTTACCGAATAATTTCTTACAGTACAGGTTTCTGTTCAAGGCGTATCAGCCAAGGAAGATTTTAGAAAATTATTTGTATTATGATAACAAATCATACATGTATACCATGGCTTTTAAATTAAGTCATAACGCGGTTGATATTTCTAAAATAGTATCCCATTGAATAATTCATCATAAAGGAAAGACATTTTAAAACTTAATTAAAAACAGACATATTTTAAAAGACAAATACCAAAGACTGTTTATCATTTGAAAATAGCATACACCTACCTCAATGTTTATGCCTTTCTCGGAGATTTGAACCTGCACCTTGGTTTCTATAGAGCCTGCATGCGCGCCAGATGTACACACTATCTTCGTTTCATCAACTGATTGGGGTTCACATTCAGAACCGGCGATCATCACACTTACTGAACCTAGTATAGTCCTACACACAATATAACCAAATAAGTTTATTTCCGTGATAATGATTTATTTCATAATTTTCCACTTTTTGTACATTCATTACCATATAAAATACACTTATTTTTCAGTTATTTGATAAAGATATTATAATACGAGTATCATATAATGTTACAAATGTAATAACTTTTTTATGTTTATTTAAAAGTCGAGTTTAACTTATTGTATATCTATACTAGTATATTTTGTGTAAGAAGTTCCATTACACTTTTTTTCACAACCCACTCACCCAAAGCCACTTCCCGTAATGGTTATAGGTGTTCCCCCTCCAGTACCTCCTCGTATTGGTGATATACTAGAAATAACTGACGAGAGAGCAGCATTATAACTATACGAGCCAGATAGTGTCTTCACCACATTATTTAGAGAAACAGCAACATCGCATCCTGCCATTGAAAAAGAGATGTAAATATATTGGTTAAAGATTGGGCAATGTATTTTTAAGAAAACTAGCCATTAAGTTTACATGTATTATGATGACTTTACATAGCCAATATTATTTATAGTGTGTCTAGGGATAGAATAATGCTTCAGATTAACATTGCAATTCTAGTCACACATTCTTGGGTACACACACTACTCATGACCATGTTTGCCCCTGTATGCGCAGATGCAATACCTACAGACGGAATTTACCAGCTCGACGAAAACTTTTTAAGGTTTGTAATTCTTTGACACCTTGATTTTTAGTTTGCATCGATTGCCAATGCTTGATTCATTTTCTTTCATAAAACATGCCAATTATACTTTAAAATGAAGAAAAGAAATGAAATAAAGAAAATAAAAGACAATCAAAACAAAAACAATGAAACCTAATAGTTTTGGATAGCACTATTCTTACAGTACCTTATTCATCACCATGCTCATACCGGGATCGGAATGACAACTAACTAACTAACTAGTCCAACCAACCAACTAACTAACTAACTAACTAACTAACTAACTAACTAACTAACTAACTAACTAACAACCAACTAACTAGCCAAATAATTTACTAATAACCCTTTGCCTAAAATTTGTCAGACTATGTCTATCTTTCAATTATGTAACTAACCTGTATTTGTATTTGCAGGAGTCAAACACTTATACTCTGTTGATGTAGTCTCGATATATTCACAGGGGAGACTACATATTGTAACCGTAACGTTTTCGTTGAATCCTCTTCCTGTTACCGTAACAGTCTGTTTACCACCCGTACTTCCTAAAACGTCCAAATACTATTTATAGGTCTACATTAAAGAATTGTAACATTCCTCGTGATTATGTCACTTTTCACAAAGAAGCCAAAAAAAATTTAAACCTGACATGGGTTTGGTTTGAAGAATGTTTAATTAAGCATTATTATCTAAAGAACAACATGAATTTAAAAAAAGCACAACAGTTACTGCATATAATCTTTATATGTAGTTACTAACCAGTGTTATTCTTCTTTGTGTAAAGTGTAAAAATCACAGGCATAATAAACTTTCTGGATAACATTTTGCAAAGTACGACCTGCAAGGAACTTTTTATGATGCACATTGTTGTATTCATAAAAAAAACGCATAATGTTAGGCAGATTTATTCTTCTATAAACAAAATTAGAATATATTGTAAAATATATCTTCCGATAAAACAAAATAGATAAAAGGTCAGGTTATTATCACTAATAGCTAAAGTAGTTACTAGAGTACATCGGTTGTATAGTCCTTCCAATAAATTATAAGCCAGGGATGCTCAAATTAACAACAATATATCATCTTCTTATCTAAATTATTAAATATAACATTAACTCTCGAAACGGGGTTGAATATAAAGTAATGTTGGCACACATTAATTAAAAGTCTCGCGTGAATCTTAACCATTTTTGCTGTAATATAAAATAATACATAAGGGCAACCCACGCCGTTGATCGGTATTTACGTTAAAAATAGCATAGCGGTGAAACTGGGAAGTCTAAACTAACCTTTTTTGGTACTATGTACAGCACAGAGTACAAGACCTTACCGGTTACTTGTTAATTTAATTAGTAAGGAGACATTTTGTTACAATAATTTGAATGTTTCTATCCAGAAGCATATGATAAATAAAAAGTACTTACCTTCATTTGGAGAAACATTCTCAATGGCTAGCGTATACTCAAATTCAATGTTCGTATCTGATAGACCTTTTCCTTCTACTTGTACGATCACTGACACTAGCTCTGCAGCGTGAGGCCCTAAGGTACACTGGATCTGTATGTTTGTTTTTGATGTAACTGGACACTCAACGCCACCAACTTTAACAAATACAATGCTACCATACAAGTTTGATCCTGAAATAGTCAACACGTCACCGGATACTCCTGACTGAGGGCTGATAGAATCCACTGTAGGTGTTGATACAGTATTGAAGGCGAAAGGCTGAGGATCGTAAGAAACTCCATTTGAAGTAACTTCTACAGAAACGTCGGCGATAGCATGCGGCTTTGTTGTGCATACTACCCCAGACAAACTGACTGAGATAATCTTACATTCAGACCCATCTATTACGACTGTCGTCTTATTCACAGCAAAGCCGTTGCCTTGAATAGTTATGTTAGTTCCACCGAACAAACTTCCAGAAGGAGGATTAATTCCGCTTATTTGTGCGTCTCCCGTCATTGTCAAACTGCCTGATGCTTTGCCTTTACCTTTAGCCCTAACACTAACATCATTACTTCCTACAGGTATATTACCAATGTCTGCTTCAATTGAATTTGCATTAACAACGATGTTTGTAGCAGCAACTCCGCCAATAGTAACTTCTATATCAGATGTTGTTTCCCAATTTGATCCGTAAATGGTTATTTTGGTGTTTCCTGACGTACTTGATGGTGATATGCTTGTCACAACTGGCGTAAACAATGACGAATAAGTGTATTTACAGACCGACATTTGAGTCTCACATGTTGCAGTAATAGGACTGTTATCGACAAATGCGTTAACAATAACGTCCTTTTCTGCGTTAGAAGAAGAAGGTGGAGTTTCAAAGACGATTTCAGAGTAAGTACTAGAAAGTACATTACACGTGAAACCGCCAACAGACACCTGAGGAGTTTTGCCGAAACCAAATCCAATTACAGTCACACGTGCACCACCGGCACGTGAACCTTTAGTTGGTGCAATGTTTTCTATATTTGGCATCACTCCAAAACTTTTATCAGTTTCTGTCATAATTTCAATCAGTGCATCCCCTCGATTGTGTACTCGAAGTGACAATCTATGTAACAAACCAAGTTCCGGTTCACCATTCTTGAGAAGATTGCAAACTATAGTTGAATCATTTGAAAACGTGACATCGCACTTAAGGTCACCAAACTTTACTTCATTCTGGCTATTAGAACTGGAAAACCCTCTTCCAGATATTGTAATAGGCGTTTTAACTGTCCCGTTCCTAGGAATCATTGAAGTGACTTTTGGTGTGTTGCATGTCCAGAATGCATAGTTGAACGTGTTTGAGCTGATGCCAGATGGTTTGTTATCGGAGCAGCCAGACAGTGGTGCAATTGTTGTTTGGGTGTTCCCTGCTAGAAACAATAAAAGACATTTACATGATTAGAGATATCAGCTAATTTTATAATATTATTAATATTGCTTATCCTTGCCCGCTCTTTGTTTAATCTTTAAAAAATATATTTGGAAATAGTATCTTTATTAAAACATTTGACGTTTGGTGATTTTCATATATATTTCAGACTGCCTCCGTGGTCGAGGGGTTAGAGTCGATGACTTCTTATCCAGTTAAATGACTTCTAATCCATGGGTTCGATCCCCGGGAGATGCTTTGGTAGTTAAGCACGGAGGAAGGTATTCTAGTACTGGTGTAACTCTCCAGGAACGATGGTTAGAAAACTACCCGCCTATATGACTGAAATAGTGTTGGGAAAAGGAGTAAAATGAAACAAACAAACAAACAAACAAACAAACAAATCATATATAACACATCCACTTCATTAGATATTATCTAGCAAACCATTTTGATAGACACATTACTGCCACAATCAAACAATTTTCTGTTGGCTAGACAGATTCTACCAATTCGATCAGTCTGATTATGGCCTGCACTGATTGGTATCTAGATCTATCCATACGATCAGTGCCGACCGAGATCAATTGGCATATCAATGCTGTCTGATCATGGTCTGCACTGAATGGTTTTGAATCAGTGGATATTGTTTTTAATTTTTCTTAGCAAAGAAAATTAATGGTTTTGTCAAGGTTGATAAATTGACTAGGCCATATTTTGAGTCACTTAGCGTGATAACAATTAAAGCAAGGAAGTGTAATTCTATTGAAATAAAGAACTTTATAACATACGGCTTGATCAAAGATCTTATAAAAATCATGATAAAAGTACAAATAAATTTATTATGGAAGACGTACCTGAAACTGTGTATAAAGCCTCGATACCAGAAATTCTGACTGCGACCTCTCCGAGACTTGATTGAGCAGGCTCGACTGTGACAGTCATGTAGTAATTTTTCAAACCATGCAGGTCTACATAACCACTCCATATGTAATATGTGCCAGCTTTTGTAAATACTTGTGAAAATCGACCTATACAAAAGACACCAGTTCACTTATATGTTTGAATGAAATTACATAGTTTTGATAATGTTTTTTTTTCTTATTTTTAAGGATGTATTTAAGGTTCATTTGTGCTCCAGTTTTGGAAAGTAAAAATAATATAAGTGAATGTGTAGGTGCAAGTCAGAGATAAACAATCGTGATATTCTTACACTGTGATACGCTTAAGTATGAAACAATCCGCTATTGAAAATTAAATAATTAACATATTTCATTTTACATAAAAATGTTTTAATAGTTTGACAGTTTTTACTACGGTTATTATTTTTGTTTATGTTATCATTATAGAAATAAATTTAAATAACTCCTGCCAATGTATAAATAGAAATAACATACATTTTTGCAGCTTTTATCACAAAAAGTGTGAACTTGACCTTGGCGGTAGGGTGTCTGGATGTTACGCATTACACCTTCTACCTGTACAATATACAGCTAACCACTGTGGAGAGAAACATTCTTTTGGAGGCGAGGATTTTTTGTGCTGATAAGAGGTGTTGTGTGGAGAGATTTCACTGAAGTCTTACTTGGTAATTAAATTTAAAAAATTGTTGTAAAAAGGTAATTGGTCTACTAAGGACCACTCTGCAGAGGTTGCAGTGTATATTTGTACAAACTTATTTCAATATCCCTTGATGAAATGAAAAAGAAATGGACAAGAGGCAAAGTAGACCGTGTTAAAGACATTATTATATTTGACCTTTTAGTAAGACCTTGGCGTTATAGGCACGACACGTCGTCCTATTATGCAGCATTTGTGCCAAAGTACTTTGAAATCTCTTCATGGATAAAAAACCTATGGACCGAGCACTAAATTTACTCTCCAACAGACAATATTGACGTATGATTTCAAAGTTGGACATTGGCCTTCGATGTAAGGGTATGGGTGTTTGGCAAGCTGTAAAATAGTATGCATTAAAATCTCCTGATAGATAGAATAGTTATGGTGTGGACACAAAATTCACTCTCCTACAGGCAATATACACCATTTTGGATCTCCGAGTGGCTCCTTTACTTTTAATGTAGGGGTCTGGGTGGTTTATTTTAACACGTTTTCTTATCGTGGTCAACATTTCTGCAAATTTATTTTCAGAGTCTATATGACTCTAATTTTGCAAAGGTGGGACAATAAAGACAGAAAAAAGTAACAAAACCAAACAAATAAAGAAAAAGAGTCACACCACTCTTTACACATGGTGTACTAAATCCGCCGATTTTAGCTATTTTGTCAGTACTGCTGTTGACCTGAATGATTGCATGACAAACATCGTTTATAAACGCTGGAGTGTACCACGACCAATCAACGACATCCCCGACACGGATGGTCAAATATTGATTATCGAATGCGTAATATATGCCATAATCTGAAAAGATATTAAACACATGATAATAGCATGTACTGATTTTTAAGATTGTGTTGATTTATGATCAATTTGCCTTAAATAATAATGTACCACATTCTCAGAACTATAATGTAAACCACAGCCGATAACAGACTCAAACTTTGACTTTGTGGTTCTCTAAAAAAAGACTCGTCAATCTTACATTTTAGGACTTTATGTGGTTAATACTAGTATTACGATGATATATTGAATTTAATCAACCGTAGTTTAAAGCCTGGCCAGACCCAATGGATGATCCTGTACTTGAGGCAAAGGTTCTTTACTTGTGGCAAAGGTTCTGTACTTGTGGCAAATGCTTAGTTACTTCGGTTCAAGCAGAATTAAGTTTACCAATATGAGAGACCGTACATGACCCATATAGACAAGCGGTCTTTATTCAGAGTTTACTCTGGTGTATTTGTATAAATGAAGAGTATTTCTCAAAGAGTATTTTTCATTTACAGGGTGATTTCAGTCGGAAGGGGTCTTTAACACATGTTTGACTGTACTTCTTAAGAAGCTAGTCTCGGTAAGTAATATATGACTATCAAATAAATGAAAACATGAAACTATTCGGTAAACAAACTGATTCTGTAGGTGAGAGGTTCTTCTCAGATGATCACTTATATCTGTAATAGTGCACAACGGAGAATATCTGAGCCCCATTCGAATGCCTAAGAGTTGCATGATGACCTACCTTAACCGTGTCAAAATAACCTTAACCCAAGCAGAAAAAAACTTCCAAATGGTATGATACATAATTTTCTACTCAATTTACAATAATTATTGTTATCGACGTTACCTGGTGATACGCCCCCGTTAGTTACAGAGTGATGCCGTCCAGCATAAGCCAATTGGCACTTTATTTGGGTGTCTGTTATTGTGTCAACAGGGCAGGAAACTCCTCCAACACTAACACTGGAGAGAGATGCGTTAGTACCAAACCCTTCCCCGATTATTGTCAAATTCGTTCCACCTTGTATAGATCCGTCCAATGGATACACGTTATTCACAACGAGATTCACATACACCGTTGGTATTATATAAGAACTGAAAAAAAGAAAAATTTAACTCCGGTTTCATGAATTCATGACAAAACTCCGACAAATTTGTCTAATCCAATTAAACAATCCAATTTAAAAACCTATGGTATGAGTATTAATTTATTAGTTATAACGCATACGTATATGTCAAACACACATCATAACATACACAATGAATACACTTAAAACTGAAATTTAAAACAAAATTACCTGTTTGTTGCATAACCAGTATTAGTCGATACTCGCAGCTCGTGTGTGCCGGCCGGAACTCCCGTAAAATTCGCTATTATCTTTGAATTAATCCAAGATATGATATACCCAGTTTTTCCCCCGATACTCACTTTGCCACTAGTTGAGGTGAAAGATTGACCTTCAATTGTGATCACTGCCCCTGTTACAAATTTATGAAGTGAATAGTAGTATTCATAAGGAAATATACCTTTTCTTGGAAGTTTTTCTAATCTAAGTCGGGTTTATATATTACATTTTTAAAAAATTGTTTATCTTATTTACTTTATCAAAACACAAAGAGTAATGCAATGGTATCCATTTGTAGTAAAAAGAAAAGGGGAAAACTTGAAAGAAGAATAAGACGAACTTTGAAAGAACAAACTATAATATGTCTATTATATACATGTACATATTGAAAATATATATTCATAATGTTCACTTTAAACCTATAGATTATCGATGGAAATATACTTTGTAAAAATGATGTATCTGAACAAAGTTGAGTTATAAATTATTAACGTAAATGATGTTGAACTAATTGTTATAAACAGGGGCGTACCTCGGCTTATTATGAGTGTACGACGAGTGCCAGTTTTTGGCCGAAGGATCGCCAGAGACTTATATATCAAATATAGCTATGTGCTATAACTAATGATTAAGGGGATATTTAAGCTAATTGTACTACTGTTGTTTTTATCTATAGTTATGAAAATAACATCAAGTACATATATCGAATATAAGAGAAATAGCACGAAGTCTAACGTGCACACTGTTTTAAACAGTTCAAAAGCTATTTGCTTTTAGAAAAACAAAACAAAGCCAGGTGTCTCTTTGTAAAAAAGATGGGTTTTATGTCATTTTGTAACAAGTTGATTTTCTTCTTTGTTATTTTTCTTTTATTTCACCATAACTTAACGTGAGATATAATCAAGGAAAATATGCTTTAAAATGATCTGTATTACTTTAGTACAAACACAACAGCTTAATGTTTAGTGTAACGAAAGGTTATCGTATTCACAGCTAAAATGTAGCACCGCACGATTATTTAGCTTCCTTAAAATATTTTTAATGCGTATTATGCAATAAGTATTGCCTTTAACATTTTTGTTCTCAACTCTATTCTTTCAATTTCCATTCGAAATATTTATGTTATTTCATTACGAAGTTAAATGCCTCACGCACATAAAGCATGTTGGTATAAACAATTTGTTATCTAAAGTCGGCGAAAGTAAAAGAATTTAGACATGATGTGTCTTATATGGTTGTAAATCGTTCTCGTTATATATTTGTCTATGTTTTAAATATGTATAGATGAGACTACGTATAATAAAGAATATATATCATTGTTTTCAGAAGTGTGAATTTTTTACTCAATAAAATAATACAGTAGAAACAATTTTTTGTGGTGATATATTTTGTAAATATTGGTATTCTTTCTTACGGTCAAATAAACAAAAGTTGAATTTGGTTTGTGACGATGGATGATAGCAATAGTTCACTGCAAACATCTGATTCACAGTGTCAAAACTATTCTACATATTACTTTGAAATGAATATAAGTTGAATGAATATTAACAAAATTAAAAATAATATACTGATTTATAGTTACAAGGTAAAATATAAAAAGACATTCCATACAGCTAACTCACTCCCTTCAATTGCCAAGTTGCAAACAAGATCTTTATTTTGCATATAGATCTAGATGTAAAAAATGAAATAAATGTTTACTTCTCATTGATTTGATTCTTCTGAAAATAAAGATTGTAATATATTGGACCGTTTTTTAACACTTATTTGGATTTTGACGAGGATTATTAGCATTATAACGCTTAACTCAAGCTAAAAAAAAAAAAGAAAAATTCCAAAGAAATTATTTATATCATATTTTTACTCCCTTTCGTCATAATTGAAGTTTTGATTGTGCATAAAAAGGTAACGCATATTCGAATAAGGTAACGTCCTAAGCATACCGGTATAATCAATTAGCAGCTACGAATATGTTGATATATCTACGCCGAAATTAATGATTTCATTTTTGAATTTTTTTTTCGAAATATTTTATTTATACGCCCGTGCGTATTGGCGTTTCGGTAGGTACGCCACTGATAAAAATATATGCCATGGTAGCATTAAACCAAGCCAGCTTATGTTTTTACATGTTATAAAGTAAGATTCCCTCCTTTAGTATAAATGATTGAACTACAATATAGAAATTACAACAGATTTTAACATATAAATGAGCCGCGTCATGACAAAACATGATCAGGATCCATGCTGTTCGCTTACAAACCCTATTACAAGTAGAGAAACTGATAGCGAACAGCATGGATCCTGATCAGACAGCAAGGATGCGCAGGCTGGTCTGGATCCATGCTGGTCGCAAACCCACTATGTTGATGTTGTCATGACACGGCTCAAATACATTTTCGTTGTTAGAAATTAAATCTACCTCATTAAATATTAGTTTCCCCTCAAAAGATAATTCACTTCCTAATTATGTGTTCTATTATGCCTCAGAAAAACTTTCTTTTATCTTTATTCCTACAAAGGCTTTAAATAGTGTTTACTTATTGGCATATTACTCTACCCGCCTTTTTCTTTTGTTTTATTTTTGACAATTGATATTGAAATCGAAATACTACTTTATTAACATTTTCCTACTTTAATGACAAATAATTGCACAACGCTACTTTTCTTAGTTAACAAGCATAATCTAAATGTTAAATAACTCATGTTTGTCCTTTTTAAAGGAGTTAAAATTATTCGTTCCTGATGAATACAATGCCTTTAAAGCAAGTTTTGACCTACTTTCAAAAAATGATAGTAATACATCAGCACAAACATGACTGGTAAAATTTCAATATCATACCAAATACTCCGAAGCTCTGAGGTGAAATGCTTGTGATAAGTGGTGTCTCTGACGCTACGTATGTAAAGGAATCGTATGTTCTCGTCACCGTTCCTTGCGTAACTATAACGCTATATGCACCAGGTGATGTCTGAAACAAAATTACTTCCCATAATTGTAATAATATGACACTAGCAGATACAAAACTTTGACAAACAGTTGAATCTATGTTTTCAAAACACGTGAACGAAAGATCAAAGGAACGAACGTACGAAAAAACCAACGAAACGAACATGGGTACGACAGATCGACCGACTGAATGAAAGGATATATATCAAAAGCGAAAAATGTATCACAAACTTACCATTGGAGGAACAATACATTTAATCTGATTGGGCTGTGTATCATTTATGAAACACGGTTTTCCACCAATAGTTACAGAAAGTCCTGCCTTGAAACCATACCCAGAAATTGTTAGAGTCACGCCTCCTGAATGCACAAAAACATGTAACTTTAAATATTGCAAAACATATAACTGAGTAATTGTCTATGTGCGTGATCATTTAGTTAACTATGTGAAAGCCATTGATGTTAAATTTAACTATGGGGTCGTTTTGATGTTTAATGAGGTGGTGTTTAATACTGAGCTTCCAGTGATGTATATATGTTTATATCTACCACCAGAAGGTTCACTATTTTATAATGACATTGATACAGATGCATTTGAAGATCTTCAAAGTGTTTTAGACAAATGTGTTACTATATATAACAATACTGACTACCTTATCTGTGGAGATCTCAATGCTAGAACTGCTTCTCTTAAGGATTATATTTCAAAGACTACAAATATTCCGCAGTTTAATGAATATGATGATTTATTGAATGACATAAATGTGCCAGATCGTGCAAATGTAGACACTTACAGGAACAGATTTGGGAAACTGTTAGTTGACTTTTGTATTATAAACTCATTACTTATTGTGAATGGCAGACTTGGTACAGATAAAGGAATAGGTGACTGTACATATGTTTCATCAAATGGTTGTAGTACTATCGATTATTATATTGTTTCAAGAGCATTATTTGACAATGTAAAAGATTTTAGAATTGATAATAATGGTTTATATGATCATTTGCCAATTATATTGTTTTTTGAAAACTGAATTATAAATAATGCATATAATGAACAATGTAAGGAGTTTGTTTATAAATGTGACTTAAGTGGTCAAAATTCAGAATTGTATTTAAGTATTGTCACTGAAAATATATTAAATGGTCATTTTGATGCTGTAAGTGAATGCATAGAAACCACAGGTAATGTTGACACTGTACTGGAGAGTTTTGAAAACATTTTACTCCAATCAAGTAGACCTTTTACAAAGCGTATGCTGACTAAAAATTCTTTTAATAAAAGTAAATCTAAATGGTTTGACCATGAATGTAAACGTCTTAAACAATGTAAAAATAGAAAATTAAGACTGTTTAGAAATAGTAGAAAACAGGATGACCTTAAAGCTTATTTAGATGTTAAACAGGAATTTGTTAAAGTATGCAAAAGTAAACAAATCTCATATAATAGAAGTACATTAAAATCAATTGAGGATTCAATTCATAACCAGAGAAATTTTTGGTCTAAAGTAAAATGTCAAAACCATAAGAATGTTAAACACTCAATAACGACCAATGTCTGGTTTGATCATTTTAAGTCTTTGTTTGCTACAGAAGTTAATTCAGTAGATACTGATGTTAGGACAGATGTAATGCCAATTCAAGGAGATATTGAGTTATCTATTTTTGACTCATTAATAACAGATGAAGAGGTATCAGATGCCATTAAATCCCTTAATGTAAATAAGGCTTGTTCTGGTAATCTAACCCCAAGACATTTTACAACATGCTTAGAAATTCTTCTCCCTTATATAAGGAAATTCTTTAATCTTATGTTTACATCAGGTAATTTTCCATTAAAATGGACGCAGATTGAACTTGTCCCAATATATAAAAAAGGTCAAATTAACGTACCTGATAACTATAGGGGTATAGCATTATTGGATGTTTTCAGTAAATTATATATCCTTATTCTGAATCAACGTCTTACTTTTTATGTTAATGCATTTGATAGGATTTCTGAATCACAGGCAGGTTTTCGCTCTGGTTATTCCACAATTGACAATGCTTTTGTTTTGTTTGCATTAATAAATAGATATCTCTCTATGAAAAGAAGAAAATTGTATGTGGCCTTTGTAGACTTCCGTAAAGCTTTCGACTCGGTTAAGAGATCACTTTTGTATAAATCCTTGGTAAATATAGGTGTTAAAGGTAGATTATTTCATGAAATACAAAGCATATATCATACAGTTAATGCAAAGGTCCGAAATGGTAACAATATAAGTTCAAGTTTCGAGTGCCCAATAGGTTTACGTCAGGGGTGTAGTTTAAGCCCTATCTTATTTTCAATATTTATTAACCAGTTAGAAATGTTTCTCAAAGAAACTCCTGATATAGTTGAAATTATAATATTAATGTTTGCTGATGATATAGCCTTAATTGCAGATACAGTTCAGGGTCTACAAAGTAAACTTAATTTTCTGCATGAATTTTGCAATATTTGGGGACTAAATGTCAATATTAATAAAACTCAAGTAATGGTGTTTAAAAATGGTGGAGCTATTGCAGGAGCTGAAAGATGGTTCTACAATGATTGCCCCCTTGCTGTCGTAGATGGTTTTAGTTATGTTGGATTATACTTTTCATGTAGGTTGTCGCTGCATAAAATGGCAGAGAGTACATCTGTTAAAGCAAAGCGAGTACTAATATCTCTATTAAAATCATTATATCATCTGTTTCCTTGTTCTGGATCAATGTTTTTTAAATTATTTGATAGTAAAATAGCACCAATATTATTGTATGGGGCTGAAATTTGGGGACTTGAAAAACAGGATTCAGTTGAGCGGGTACATTTATATGCATGTAAGCGTTTTATGAATTCTTCAATAAAGGCATGTAACGCAGCAGTCCTAGGTGACTGTGGACGCCATAGCATGTACTGTGTTACTGCCAAAAAGGCTGTAAAATATTGGTTTCGAATAATACTTATGCCAAATTATCGTTTTGTCAAAAAATCTTACCAGATGCTTGTATTTTTTGATTCTAATGGTTATAAAAACTGGGCAACGAAGATTAGATTACATCTATACCAACTTGGGTTTGGTTACGTTTGGGATGCCCAAGGTGTTGGTAATATTAATCTTTTTTTGTTTGTTTATTCTCAACGCTTAACGGATATGGATCGTCAAAACTGGTCGAGTAAATGCCAGGATTCAAGTAAACTTTATTTTTATCATACATTTAAACAGAATTTTGGCTTTGAACCATATTTAGATTACATTGATAAATATAAATTCAGAAAGGCCTTAGTTGCTTTTAGAACATCTTCACATGAACTTATGATTGAAAAGGGGCGGCATCTGAAATTATCACGAGAAGAGAGAACTTGTATATATTGTCAAAATTTAGTAGAAACGGAGTCCCATTTCCTCCTTATTTGCCCACTATATACTAGTTTACGTTTAAAGTATTTAAATGAAAAGTTCTATGTAGCTCCTACTTTACATAAATTTGATATTTTAATGTCAAGCAATAATATGTCAGTTGTAAGAAATCTAGCTATGTATATATATTATGCTCTTGAAAAACGAAAACATTGTATTAATACATTTACTTTTTAACAACTTGAACATGATATGATATATTGTTAACGTATAATGTTGATTGAACTATAGAACTTGTCTTGTCATTCACAATTTGTATAATTTGAATGTATATTATGTATATGTGTATTGGCTGGTGGCCATATATCGCAAATAAAAGTATAAGTATAACTTTAAATATCGCAAAAACATCCGTTCCTTTAGAAAAGGTTATTAAGTCTTCTGGAATAAAATTAGTTACAAAAAGAGAACACTGGCCGATAAAAATTCACGGGGCGCTGGGGAGATTCTCGTTCGAGGTAAAGTTGCTAATGTCGGACATGGAATCTTATGGTCATTTGCCTATAACTGTTGATACAAAAATCATATTTAATTAGCTTGTCACTTGCGAGGATATTGGTAACTACTGGTTAGTTATCCAGGAAAACATGTCAAGTGGATCGACCGCCGAGATGACTAATAATGTGTTAAAAATCGTTGTAAATTAATGTGTACAAAATCATTGTAAATGCAATACACAATTTACATTAATTAGGTTTATTTTTTTTATCTTCAATGTTTTTGAGTTATCTATCATAATATGTAAGAAAATGTACCTACCTCCAAGACTACCGGAGTCTGGAGATATGTCATTTATACCAGATATGTAGGTAAATAATACATTCCCACTTGACAAGCCTTTTCCATCAACGTTGACGAGAATTCTATGTGACCCAGAAGGACCATTGCCAACAATACACGTTATGCTGCTGGAGGAGGAGGAGCCCGTCACTGTGCAAGGAACGCCTCCTATTGTCACGTGATTTTTACTGTTATCTGCGCTGAATCCGCTTCCGGTAATAACTATTTGTGCGTTCGATGCAGACGTACCTATTAATACGTTACAAAATAAAGTAAGATAAACACTTTTTTGTCGATCGCTTTATCAAACAATTTTTAAAATTTTACCTTTTTTCCAGGAAAAAAAATTGACAGTATTTACAAATAAAATATTTGTGGCATGTTCCGTTTTTGAAATCTTTCAGTGTAGTCATATGTCACCTTTTACAATTAAAAAAATACAGTGGTCAACCTTGTATATTCCTATTGAAATAGTTGTAAGAAAAGAGTTTACAGTTACCGCTAGATGGAGACACAGAGGAGACAACCGGTGTTGAGGAAGAAAGCCATTCGTATGAACAGTCCCCAAGACACGCTGTTAACTCATTGTTGATGCGAACCGTGACCTGTGGTTTAGCTTCCACTGTTCTGACAAGACCGCCTGGTATAGGATCGTAAAACACGCCCCCATCTTCTTCTGTATATGCAGTCACCGACGGATTTGTGCCCTGCAGATTTCTGCTGAGAATCTGTTGCGTAAATTTTAAGAAATAAATCATTCTAAATTTAACATTATTATCTGAAAGTAATGATCTATAATAACTGTTATGCATGACTTTATGTATACCGGGATAGCCTGCAAAATTATACTGTAAAGTATCACACAGCCTATATGGTCGTTGTAGTGATCTTCTTAGGAGTGATCAGCAACAATCGCCTAGCCTAACTTTGGCAGTTATTAGGTCTCTGCAACAATATGTAAACAATTGCTAGGTAACACAAAAGTTACAAGTATATATTTAATTGTATTTTTCATGTTTGTCATTTCAACCACTGCAGCTAATGATTTGGGTTTTTGTGTGTCATAATTGTCCACTTTGTTGTATAGAAAACCCATTTTAAACAAAATAATATTTTTAAGAAAATGTTCACACATACCCTAATTTCTTCCTGGTTCCCGGGACGCGTTAGGAATGTTACAGACAAATTGAAGTTTGCACAATCACCCTCCCGTGTCACAGACACTGATCCAATTCCTTTTAGAGACTCGAGCTGGTTTCTAAAATCCCCAGGCTCAAGTGAAATATTTAAACCTATGAAAATAATAGTGTAATATACATTCAAAGAAATATTCTTTAGTTAAAATAAATGAAAGCATAGGCGCATTTTCTATCAGATAATTTATTAAAATTAGATTATAAGTTTTTAGTTTTCTCTTTCTATCGATAACCATCGACTTATTAAAAACCTTTGTGAAAAATAGTACATGGCATATCGATAACAGAGAGGAATTGAACGGCATCGCCTTCAAACAAATTCTTGCCAAAAATACATGTTTTGCAAAATAAATACTAAGATTGCTAAATAAATAATAGGTTTTCCTAATACATTGTATATATTAGGTCTACTAAATCAACTAATTAACAAAGTGTGTCAAATATATACTAAGTCTTTTTCAATAGATACAGAGTTTTCCTAATAAAAATTATGTTTGCCGAAAAGATACTAATTTTGCCAAATAGATACAAGATTTCCCAAATAGATAGTAAACTTGCCTAATAAATGTATACAAGATTTGCCAAATGAATAAAAAAGTGCCAAATAAATACTAGGTTTGTCAAATAAATACAAAAAAATGCCAAATAAAGGTTTGCCAAATAAATACTAGATTTTGCCAACTACAATATATTATTACTGCCATGATAACAATATAAGAAGTTCGTGATTTAACAATGATTTATCAAATGAAATTACAAACCTTTTTTTATCTGACCATTAAACTGAACATTCAGAGTTCCTGTTGGAGGTGGGGACGCCGTTACTTTACGAGTCACTCGAACTATGCCCTTTCCGTTATATAATGGTTGAACAACATTGTTTACTACCTATAGAAGATAATTTAATGTCCTAACTTTTGTGAACATGCAATATTTATAACTATTAAAGCGAATGCCTCCAGATTCATGCTATTGTCCATGAACATTAAAAGAAAATTGTATTTAAAAGTAAAATATTGTGAAGTAAAGAAAAAAATATACAAATTGCAAACGGCACTGACAATCAACGTAAATACCAAAGAGGTCAAATATGCAAAATAGCCCTTAATGCGTTACTCACACAGTAGAAATATGGTGGTAAATACTACAAAATCAGTCACTAATCGCACATAATAGATAAAATATAAAATTGAATCTTGAACATTTTTTTAAAATTCTTTAAAAATAATCTTAAAACATTCCTCTCATATTTGATTTTCTTGAAATAATTTGGCTCATCTGTAGGTACATGTATGCAGCTTAAAAAAGGGCAAAGCAACTTTACGATATGTATTATATATACATCAAGACCGTCAGTAAGCCACTTGTATTGATATATTGTAATTAAATGAATATGTTTTAATTACACAAGCAATTCCTTATTATTGTAAATTAAATTTGTTTATCTAGTTTACGTTTATACTATTAGTAACATAAAATATTTTCACATGACCATTTATAAATGTTTGATTTCAAATATAGCCCGAGGTGCACTGTTTTATGGCTGTGTATATATGGTTGTAAGATTATATAAACCAAACACACACAATAATTTGTAAATTGACAGATTATAAAGATTATATGAACAATTAGCCTATGAAAAATGACGTTACAAACATGCAGTATAAATAATTCAAATGTGAATATGGATGTGTTAGAAGAAGAAATCTTTATTTCAAAATCCACAAGTAAACAACAACAGTCTGGTTTAGGCTGATAAGCCCTTGACCTGACACAAAATAAAACAACAACATCGTGAGCAATACAATACATAACCCAACACATTATATAACTCACTTTCAACATATTGTTACATACATATATCATCATGTATGATGTCAGTTACATTTTAATTTATTTCAAAAACACTACTGTTTAATTTCATACATGTATATCTCTTTGGTTATTTGGTTTATTACCTTGTTCCGTACGTGATCTGGTAACTAAAAATCAATGGTTATAAATGTCGAATTGTTTTATTATAATATTCATAATGTTGAGTATTACTAACCATCCTACCACTGAATACGTACACAAACATAATGTAACATAATATTACATAACGCCTTGTATCGAACATGAAATTACAAGACCATTATTTTTACGACTCAAACTCAAAAGCATGACAGTTTGTTTTTTATGTCAGATATAAATATGTCAGATTAAGTCACGCATACAAATATGCATTTTAGTATTTAAAAAATTGCCTTATTTGGAAACGAAGGTACAAGACGATGCATGCCAAACCTGTATGACGTACACAAGGGAAATAACCATTTCATTTATAATGAAAACGATATTCAAGATTTGTTTCCCTTTAGTTTTTTGCTAAATTCATACAATTTTAGCTAAAGGATAAGGGAATTACGATGCGAAAAAAGACGAAAAAGAACAGCGGTCATGATACAACATATCAAACATTTAAAAGGTACTAAATAAAGTTTGAAAATAGGAAAATGATTCTATAAGTAAAGAGGTATATATGCAAATTCAGAATAAAGTCAAATCCTAAATTTCCTAAAACGTCTCTGACTTGAAATGCCCAGTTTATAACCCTGGGGTTTAATCTATGTTACTTAACATTTGCAAGTATATCAATTTGATATATTTTCGTTCAATACTACTTGTAACTTTTAACCAAAATTTAATTATTTTGAAAATACGTTGTGAATAAAGATCCGTTCTTCCAAGTTCACCAGAGATGAAATCATTCTTGGTAGAGGCTTTAAAATAAAGTATAGATTTACAAAATAGAGTATGAATTCATTCTCTATGTGGAGCTTTAGTGAAACACCAAACTTCAGATCCGTAAAAAGAATCGGTTTATCTAAGCTATCAAATAATTCTAAAGTGTGTTCAATTGTAATTTTAGTGTATTTCCTAAGCTAAACATCGCTTTCTGTGCTTGACACGATGAAGTTTTATGAGTCTCACTAAAAGAACCACCAGACCTAAAAACAATACCAAGATCATGAACTTTGTTAATAATTTCTAAAGGGTATCCATCATAATACAAGTAAAGATTTTGTGGCAGGCAGCCCCCTTTTCTGAAAACAATTACTTTTGTTTTAGACTTATTAAGACATAATTTCCATCGATTACAATACTTATGCAAAATATTAAGATTACCCTGTAATTCGTCTTTTGAAGAAACAAATATTAAAATGTCAATAGCATACATTAACAAAAATAACTTCAAGTTACCAATGTCTATTCCTTTTGACTCGTTAAATAACACTCGTCTTCGTTTAGATACATTGAAAATAAAAAGGGGAAAGGCTTTCGACCTGTCGTACTCCTAAAAAACTTTTCTCCTGCGTTATCTTTTAATCTTACTCTAGATGTGACACAGCTGTATAGACATTTAATAACATGATAGAGTCTACCACGAATTCCCAATTGATAAAGTTTATACCAAATGTTTTCTCTTACTAGATAGTCGGATGCTTTTGAAAAGTCTATGAATGCACAAAACAATTGTTTATTATTATTAATAATATGATTAATCAAACCATGTAAAAGAAAAATATTTTTCAGTGGTGCACATTTTGGCTCTAACTCCCGCTTGAGATTCTACGTACTAAACGTAATAATTTTCTGCCCAATTTGTTAGCCTAGTATTTATTAATAATAATAATAATAATAAAAATTACCACATTTCTATAGCGCCCTTCTCAAAAAATAAAATGTTCAAAGGCGCTTTACAATGGAATTATATACATTTACTATGACTTTATAAACAAAAAAAAAGTAATAAAAATAATAACACACAAATCAAGATAAGACAACTGAAATCTAAATCCAATTTGATGAAAACAGTAATTAGTAATGGAAATGTGATTCAAAAATAGACTATTATATTTCAAATGTTTACCCAGATATCTCATAACAAAAGACAGCACGCCAATTCATAGTGATGACAAATACAGCACAGTTAGTTACTATAAATTTTCTGGAAAAAATGTGTTTTTAAAGATTTCTTAAAAAACATCTACTGTTTTTGAGTCTCTGATACTGTCTGGGAGAGCATTCCACAGTTTAGGTGCCACCGAAGAGAAACTGCGTTCACCATATCTTACAGTCCTACTTTTGGCAACAACAAGTTGCTTTGAAGAGTTCTTTGATCTTAAGTTTCTTGTTGGTTGATATAGCGCCAGTAAATGTTTAAGGTAAATTGGTGACTGGTCATGTAGGGCTTTATAAGTTTGTTTGTCTTTTTCATAATAAAAATCGCGTGAATAATTTCCGATAACGCTTAAAAGAGTTATACCTCTAAAAATTTTAGCTTCAGACAAGCTTCCTTTTTATGTATAGAAACAATGAAACCTTTTTAGGATAATACCCAAGATATAATAGTTTGGTGAACAGTTTTAAACATAGCAAGCTATTGATTAAGAAATTCGTTTAATATTCGGTCCGGGCCCCCGCTCTTATTCAAATTAAGATATGATATGCCCTTCAAAATATCTAAACAAACGAGAAAACAGTACATCTAACTCAGAAAACATAACATTTAATTCTTGTTCAACTTTCTTATTAAGATATACATGTATAACATCGTCGTCAGCTTGAAAAAATGAGTCACGAGGATTATAAATTGCTTTGAAATAACTGGTAAAAGTTTCTAAAGATATATCTTTTGGTGCAGTTGTTGCAACTGATTCCTTCAGCATTCGCCAATAAAGTCTAGCATTTATATATCTGGCATTCATAAATTTATCAGTGTCTTGTTTGTCTTTTTCATAATAAAATTTCCTAACATTATTCTTCTTGCTTCTATCAATTCCTTTCTATTTATGTCATTTTAATTGCGCCTTTAGTTATTAAGGTTTTGATAAAAAATCATTCAATATTACGGTCAATATCATCATAACATTGAGCAATTTTTACAGATTGGTTTAAGTCATTTATTGCAGATATATACAAAATGTACTCTTCACTATTTATTTTTTCAACATATAAATCTTTATAATCGTTATTCCATTTGTGACAACTACTGATTTCATTAAACTTTGGTTTGTTGTTGATATTTACATCATCACTTGTTCCTTCAAGGTAAACTACATCAAACAATGGTCAGATAATGCTCAACTTTTAAAATAAATACGATGATGCAAGCATCTCTTACATTACCGAATTAACATTATCAAACGCAAAAAAGTGAACACTTCTGTAACAAAGTCCTGCAGCTTGATTTGAATTTGAATCCAGTAAACTTACAATGAAACTAAACTGAGCAAAAGAACCATAGCACAGTATGATCAAAGAAATATCGGCAATGATACAGCCATACCCGATTACATCAAGTTTTATCTATCTAAAAGTATATCAATCATCCTGTTCTTATTCTAGTTTGATGCTTTCGCGAGTTTTTTGTTGAGTTTGAATCATAGGCTAGTAGAGATTTACGTACCATACGAGTTTTTCCTCATTTTATTTCCACAGTACAAAACAGTATTCCTTGCAACTAATCGACAACTTTGCCGCGGGAACAGACATTGTGATTGAAATATTGCTCCCGACTAATTCATTATAAAACAAAAACATTTGCCGTGCTTTGCAGGACACAAACCTACGAATTTTACTAGCTTTCAAATTATGAAAAAGATACAAAGCATATTTTATTCAAAGGGAAAAAGATTAAACTGAAAATATAGAAAAAAAGAAGTTCCTACCAAAGCATGTCCTAGTCTGAAAAGTGGAAGTCCTGTACCACAATTAAATGGTTTGAGGGTGACTTTATACTTGTTTCCAGAAGCTTCTACCGACACGGTATTTATCACTTCTCCGTTAGGAAGAGCTGCTTTTCTCCGGAGTTTATTTGGTTCTTTGTAAATGTACAGAAGTTTATTATATATAAACAATGAAATGCATATTTGAATATCTAAACGAAATATGTCATTATGTACCTAAAGTGTCCTTGACATATATATACCATAGCACTTAATATTCATAAATGATATTTTTTTATAAAGTCAGATTTTAAAAATGCTTGTTGCGGTTTTATATGCTTTTTATGCAAAGTTTTGATTTCGCAATGAAAAATAAACTAGCTAAAAACTAATAATTGGTTTTATTCTCAACGATGTCTTTCGCACCAATCAAAAACAAGTTTAAATCTTCAAACAAACCTGGATCGGTAACAGCCTTTTGACCGATATAGACGGCATCGATATAGCCGATCTTATCAGCATTTAGGCTTCTCACTCTGATTTCAGTTACTCTATATTGCATAAAGCTTGGATAGACGCCCGTCACCTTCTCATACAAGTCAACACATGTGTAATACCACCTCTTTGACCTGAAATATTAGAGGCAATCATGCAAAATTATTTTAATTAGTAAAGTCTAACAAATCCTTTTGTGACGGGGTTTTCCTGTATGCTTTATTTTGTATCTGATTTAACTTTCGTTTACAGAAGTCTCATATACTTCAGACTTCATTTTACCCATTACATCGAATGTGACGTGTTTAGCGAACACACGATAGTTAAGTTTACATCCATTGTAATAACATTTTAGCGTGCATATAATTTAATAGAAATGAATGATATAGTATAATACATTTACGTTTATCGTTACAAACGGTTAATATTATAATGTCAATAGCATTGTTACGATTTCACTATTGTTTTTAATGTTATTAGGTACTGCCACATAAAGACTTTAAAGAGCTTATGTTGTAATTAAGGATGTAACATACATTTAAGTGAAGTTTTATATTTATTATATGTAAATAATTATTCTTAAACAATTTCCAAACATCCCAGAATATTTAAATTTTTACAGCGAATGTTTATATATATTATGATGAAACGTTTAAATTAATGTATCCGTTTGTATTAAAAACAAAAAAACATAAAAAAAAATACAGGCTTAGATATTATCGAAAATAAATTTCTAATTACCTCCCTTTATTTACATGAAATGTTAAGTTCGGTAATATCTTTACAAATAATGCTTTTGAAACTTACACTATTGATAAATCTTCATTTGAGCATCAGATTTATGATATAAAACCATAAAAGATGTGTTACAGGATCTTTAACATGAAAGTAGTCCGTTTATCATTGTGGCACGGCGCCCATCAAGAATTGATACTAAAAATGTCTTCGATTGGTATAGAATTCTATATAATTCATTTTTATTTGATTTCCTTTTAAAATATACAGGTGTAGTCTATAGGCAGGCAAGCCAAAGCCCTGTACTTCTACGTCATTTATTTATAAAGAGCTTTTACTTAATCATTAAATTGAGGATGATCATACAATTAGTAGCGATTTCGGATACAGAAATTCGGATAGACACAGAGTGGAAGCCAGTTTATTTTACTTACTCAGTTTCAGAGTCGGTTCTAAATGTGTGAGGGAATTTACGAGTATCTGAACTTGTGGTTGCAGTCACCGATGTTTTGTAAGTAAAGCTTACTTGGATGTAATCTTGAAGAAAACCTTTGTATGCAAAACAAAGCTGAAAAAAAGATAGTCAACATTGCGACAAAATACATCTTAAAATACATTAAGGCATTAGGTTATCATACAAAAAGAAAAAAATGAACCTAAAGACTCAGATACAATTATGTGGCATGCAAATCTTTAGATGATGTACGTCTTACTGTCTGATGCCTCCTTTTAATGTATAGACCGGGAACAAAACTATATTATTTACCCAGTTTTAAACAGTGTGACTACTATCTCAATGATATTCTGAATAACATCATTGAAAGCGTAGTATAATTAAAGTAACTCCACTGAGGTCCAAAAGCCTTAAACCATAAATTTTAAATTCCTTTAATAGAACAGCTATTACATAAAACGAAGCGTTGCAGAAGATACTTTTAATTAAAAGCAATATACTGAGAAATAAACTGACAATCGTACTTTTATGCTATTCTTAGCACGATATGAGTGAAAAGCGATGCAATGTTTTTCAATTTTGGGTCATGTTTTACTATAAGAATAATCATCCTAGAAAACAAATTAAGCGAATGATCTAAAATTTTGTACACATGGTTTTGGTCTACAACTACACCAAATGGAACAGTAATCCTGAAAAGTTATTTCCAGTCCCGTCATGTAAAGAAAAAACTCATTGGAGTCATTTTCATGTTCAAATATCATGAAAAAATAGGCTATCAAATTATAGAACAGAATATTCTAATAATTAACATTAAGGAAAGAGCAATATTCAAGCTAATCATTTCAAGATTTTTTTTCTTTTTTTTTTTTTTGCATAGAAGAACCTCGTTATGATTACCTTTTTTCCGAGACTGGACAGTCTTAAAACATGGGTATGATTGTCAGAAAAAAACTCACAAGTGTACTTAATAACTTGAAATACTGCCATTGTAAAGTTTCATCGAGAAAATGAATTCGGTACATGCTTTGGAAACTGCAGATATTTCTAGTTAATTAGGATATTAAACGACTGAACACCGTTACCTGTTTATACTGTTCTAAAGATATCCCATCTGTATTGTCCTCTTTCTTATAAATACGATACGGGTTCTCCAAAATATAGCGTCCACAAAATGGTTCAGAATCTTTCACAACTGTACCAATGTATCCGGTAGAAGGCGTCTCAAAATCTTGCGTATACTTTGCGTTCGTGCGAGATGGTAGAAATGTTTTCTCTGAACACTTTGCTACAAACAGACTATTGATTGCAGTCTCAAGCTGAAGGTAAAGAATTTGTTCCCATTAGTTTCTTTAGAACTTGTTCTAAAAGTTTTCTGTAGGACTTATTCTCTTTAGTGTTCTTAAGTACTTGTTTCCGTACGTTCTCTAACTTTAGAACTTGTTCCTATTAGTTTTCTAGTTCTCTTTAAAACACGTTTCCATTAGCTCTTTTGAAACATGGTAGTTTTCTTTAGAGTTTGTTCTCATAAATTATCTTTGAAATATGTTCTATTAGTTCTATTTAGAACTTCCTTCTATTAGTTCTCTTTAGAAATTGCTCCTATTTGTATTATCCAGAATGTGTTTCACTTAGTTCTATTTAGAGCTTGTTTCTATTAGTTCTCTTAAGAAATTGTTCCCATTCGTATTCTTTAGAATGTGTTTTACTTAGTATTGTTTAGAAACTTGCTCCAATTCCTTCTTTTTAGAACTTGTTCCCAGTCAGTTTTAGAATTTGTCCCCATTAGTTATCTTTAATATTTGTATTTGGAATTTGTACTATACTGACAAAGTAAATGGCAATTATTTTAAAGATACATTTACTTTTAGAAAGATGGAAGCTGACGATTATGTTAAAAACTTTTGGGCCGACCATTTCGTGTGTACACCTGATAATGATATAAAATTGTGAAATTATATATTGTGTGTATTTATATAATATAAAACTTAATTCATTTGCGTGTTAGTCTGATAACGGTCAGATAATAAAAAAGAAAGGTCAATGAAAGCCATTATTTTTCCCAAATTTGATTTAATCATGACCAAGATATATAAGTTATAGATAAAATGAACTATTAAATAGTCGAATATTTACGATTTTGTCAAAGCAAAGAAGAACTGTCACAGAAGTGACCCATACCCCCACCATCCTTATGACATTGGATTATATATAGGTCCATTATTTACCACTTTTTTAAAGTTTGAACATTTAATCAATGTTTGAAGATAATTCCTTAACAAGTATGTAGTTTATAGTGCGGACACAATTATCTGACAAATGACCTTCAAGTGTGACCTTGACATTGATCGGCCATAACATTGGAATTGTTAGTTGAAAGAAAGTAGAGGTGATCACTTTAGTCAGGTTTGAAGATAATTAATCATTCGAGAGGGATATATGAATAATAGTAATGACATGAATGAGTTTGACATTTGACCTTTAACGATGTCCTTGACCTTGAGTTTGCACAGTGGCAGCATTGGTATTTGAGCAAACCTTCAAGGTGTAGTAATACAGTGGGTACGACCTTAACTGACATTTGACCTTTCAGAGAAAATTTAACCTTGAGCCGACTGCAGTGGCATGGGTTTTGCATATCGTCTTGCTGAGGTAAACATTTTAGTTTAAGTAAAGTTTGAGTAAAAATCCTATACGGGTATATAAGTTACATAAGACCGACAGACGGACTGACCAACTGATTTCAGTATGGCCCCATCCACAATCTTCTTTTTTTAATTTTTCTTTATGCAAACAACTTATTTTATTTGATCTTAATGATAATTTCATAGTAATATATCTTTGCTGCTTTCATAAATTGCAAAGCTTTCTATATAGATATCATATTGCTTTGTAAATACCTTTTCTGCCGTCAGATCGGTTATTGAAAACGGATCTGAATCAACTCCCGCAAAGTTCAAGGTCACTGTGTCAAGGTCAGGTATACCGGATCTGTTTTGTTTCACTGTATGTAGTACAGGCGGACCACCAGCAACCTTGAGGACGTTCACGGTTCTGAAGTCACCTGTAACACGTAGAAAAGATATATAAATATTGATTTAAGGGACATTTGGTATTCTATAGATTAATTCAATGAATATCGAACTGTGAAGAAGCCGGAAGTAAACATTGGAATTCCGTATTTTAATCACAAATACACATATAACTTCGATTTGACACTTGAAGTTTCGAAAATAAACTTTGAAAGTAAGACACAAATTGGGTCAATGACCCCTCTTGCCTTTGAAAATAAGTAAAATGCCAAACTATTATACCTCGATTGGAATTAGCAAATGCTATGTGAAAAGTAGGCATAGGATCTTGCAATCTCGTTACACCAACGCTGACTCCAGGCAATGGTAGACTATTTAATGCTTCTTTTATTTCGTCTGCGTCTGGGTTTAGTGGACCTGAAATAATATAAAAACAAGACCTGTACTGTTTAATAGATATCTGTGAATATTTCATTTGTCCATATTCTAATTGACTGTTTTTCTTTGAGGTTTTGGATTCACTATCAGATATATCTTGCTAGATAGTTTTTTTTAACCACATTGCCACTATTAGGGTAATAACATGTTTGTGCCTGTCACGTACATTGTTATTTTGTATACCTGCCAGTTTTTGTAACTTGCTTGTCAAACATACCACATGATAAAATTCGTGTGTGAAAGATAAGTTATATCATGTCTCAACGCACACGGATAAAAATCTTTAGACTACTAGTCACTTACCACTCGGCAATTTCGCCCCCTCCAACTTTCTTCTGGAACTTACCTTATTTTCCTTTTTAAGTCGTGACCAGAACTTGCTTATGCATGCTTTTCGTTTTCTAATCGCAACTAACTTGTGTTTACCCTTATACTACTATTCAAACTTTACTTTTGTAAAACCTCCTTGAATCCCAACAAGACGAACCTGTTTTCAACCACACCTACCTGTATAAACACCTTTAAGTCCTAACCGGAATTTTCCGGTTGTATTTATCATCACTTCTAATATTTCTCCCCTAACATTAGTGTTCTTTACAAAATCTCTAAACTCTAGTTCCTAAAAGAAAAATAAGAAGCATGTTTAGAAAATGACCAACAAGTCCAGTCATACATTGAATTGTTTTTTCTTGTCTTCGCAACTAAGAAATTTTATATCAACAATTTCATTTTCTGTGTTGTTTTCATTTCAGCTCACTTAATTTATCGGAAACAACCACAAACCGATCACAAAATGTGAAAACATGTATAAATGATAAATTATATACTTAAAAATTGATGAAATGTAGGAGATGGGGACTAACCTGTATATCTCAAATTGTAACGCTGTATTGTGAATGTAACGTAGGAATTGTGCAAAAGTAACGGTCCATTGTTCAAATTTATGGCCAAAACGAACAATACGATTAGTAAACTGACTAATAAATTGTAAATCAAATATTAGTTTAGATAGATTTTATTTTAGTTCGATTGTGTAGAAAGCTATACGATTATAAACACATTTCGAATCCATGCCTGGAACCATACAGTGCTAAGGGACGAAAAAAGTTTCTTGCTCAGGGAAACAACGGCTTGACCTTGACGGGCTCTGAACTTACTCGGCCAACAATTCTAAGATGACTTTTCTGACTTTTTCACTGGATGTTGCTCTTCTTCTTGATTTTATTGTCATATTTTATAACATAGAACTATCTTTGTTATTTTACACTCATAAATATTGTATGTAACCCGAATAAAAAATTTCAAGAAAATATGATGTTTTACGTCGATGGTCCTACTTAGGACTGGTGCCTGCTCGTGTCTGAAATAATGCACGGAGAGGCACCCGAGGTCTTCCTCCGCCAGCGAAGCTGGAAATTTGCCCTATGACCTATACTATACTGTGTTGGTGCGACGTCAAACATAACCAACAAAAAAACCAAAACCAACTTTCAATAAGATATATGAACGAATTTCTTTCATTCTGTGTGTATTCTGTAATCATTTTACTAAAAATCAGTATAAACAAGGCGCACCTGTTCCTCAGATTTCTCCGTAGAAGTTACAATAAACTTTTGTGTTTCCTGCCTGGCCGCATTTGTGTAGTTTCTTGTGTAGTTTGAATCGAAATATTTCACTTTAAGGTAAATAATGGACTCTCCAGTAACGTCATAGTGAATCACTTGCATAAAATATCTGAAGATATAAAATTAAATATGTCTTTCGGTCTATTTATAAAAAAGGGATTAAAAATATGTTTTCTCTGTGCCCCTAGTTGACAGCTGTGCGAAACTATTTCGTGGTTGCGATAAATCACAAACAAAGTATTAAAAATAAAAAAAGAAATAAAAAAATTAAAAATATAAAATATAAAGAAAAAAAAACTTTATATGTATGTTGTGCTAAATAGAACGACAACTCCGGCAAAAGATGACATAATAGTTACGCTGGATGACTTCCCTTGCTATGCGCAATCCTTGATACAAACCGTTTAAATTAGAATACAAAAATATATTCGTTACTAAGTAATCAGCAAGATACATGTGTCTAGAAATGTTCATTTGTGTGAGACAGCACCTTTTTCTCACACCGACATTTTGCGCCCAAAAAAGGACAATGTTTGCATTCATGTCCGAATCAATTCTTATTGTTTGAAAATTCGAGGACGGGGAAGTATGTTATCGTATAAGTTGTCCATTGATTGTATAAAAGATGTGCAAGTTGACGGGAAGAGCTGCGGAATAATATTCCGACAATCGCGCGTCACAGACCAGGTCCCGTTACTCAGCATAATGTTTTCTTATCGTGCCACACTTACTTTTGGTCTTTGTTTAATGTTCGTCTGTTTGACACAGCCCATTCCGATGATGATGATACTGCCGAATTCTAAAACAAGATGATATATGATATAGCAAATGATAGATTTTTACACAATAAAAGAACGGTACTTTGAAATAAGAGCTTTAGGTAACTCCTTATGAATGTGTCATTTGATGTTTGTTCCTTTCAATAACTCTAGCTAGATATACTTTGCAAACATGTTTCATTTGAAAGACAGTATTAAGAATGTGTTACAGACGCAGATTGCTCATGGAAATTGATGTAAGACTAAAAAAAACTCGTTGTTTGTATGTACTTATTAACCTTGCAGAACCGAGAACAAAATGTAACGTCTTGTTGAAAGATCATTATCTTTAAATTCACAAATTAGAAAATGAATTTCTTACAATTACGAACCACTTATACAAACATGAAAATCACAGTTATAAAACGATAATAGCAGTTTGTTTAAGGCGGACTAAGGACGCAGTTATTGTATTGTTGAACCACTGAGTTGCACTCTTAAGTTCATCAAAAGTTACATCGCTGATAAAAGCAGTTGGCAAATATCTAGTAACACTGTTTAAGTTTGACATAATAACTGCATACGACATCGATGTTTTTAGGCTTTACAAAACAGAGCACTTACTTCGTCAATAAAAAGTTCGGCATAGTCGTCACCAAGTAGATGGAACTCATATGTGCCGGAGTTTTTAGGGACGTAGTAAAACGTCATTCTGCTGACGTAATTGTCCATGGTGTTGTCAAAGGCATAGGTTTCATCCAAGACTTTCTGCTGGTACCCACTTGAAGAACTGCCAAGTTGACGTATATCACCGAAACCTCCGGGTAAATTACTAACTGATATCGACCAGATTTCATGCCGAAGGCCACGATTACCAACGAAACGGGAACTACTACCGACGCTCGTTGGTTGTCTAGCAACCACACACTTAATATATACGTCTCTAACAACTTCTTTTACTTCACACACGGTGTCTGTAGAAGAAATCATGTGATTTTTGAATAGCATGTAAAACAACTTATCTTGGGTCATCGACAGATTCTCGAGGCATACAACTTTAATACATAGTATAATAAACATATTCCAAGAGTTTAAGCCTTTGCTTTAATGGATATCAAACCAAGACTTCTGATTTTAAAACATGTTTTATTGCAGTATCATATAGGAAAAGTGCAACTTACAATTAGACATAGAACAATACACTCATACAGTTACATGTAGTTCAAGTCTTTAGCGAGTAAATGATTGAAAATCTTTCAATTTATAGATGGATTGATAAAAGAAAATAACCTTCGATAGAAACCGAAGCCGGGGCATATGGTTTAGTATCGTCCAAGTAATCCCCGTAAATATACAGAGTCTGGCCGCCCTCTGTACTTCCTGAGCTGTGACTAAGTCTTGTGACAACTGGAATAAAAAATATGAAATATGTTAACCAACCGCACTCGTAAATATTAGTATTGATACAGCCTTATTATGCCACTTTTGTAACTTTTAGGAAAATTGATTAAAATTGAATAAAAAGATTTTGTCTATGGAAACAATAACAGAGATTATACCGTGTAATTAAACACATTTGTAATCAAACGTGTGATAAATTGTATAAAGGCAAAGTGAGAACAATGTCAAGCCTGATCGAGGTTCGAACCCGGGACCCTCAGAATACCCTCACAATACCGTTCCGCGGCTATGCTGACTGAGTTTTCCGGCCGGTTACACATTTCCTCCTATATAACGGGACACTATGAGTAATTATAAAACGATACATTACCAGCGTAGCTAACAAACATGCAGATTTCGTCATTCTCCGACAGACGTTGAACTTCAGACATAGACCTAAATCAAGAAAGTAAGATATAGAAATGTTTCTGGTCAAATGAGTGAAGTCCAACACAATGTGCATTTGAAATTCATTTTGATCTAGTAAGCTTTTTAACAATGAGTTGGAAAGCCCATGGCCGAGTGGTTAAGGTCCTTGAGTTAAAGCAACTGGCCCCTCATCTCTGTAGGTTCGAATCCCGCCAGGGACATTGGATTTCTTCACGCGAGAAAGCTATCCAAGTAGCTTGCGGCATGTCGGTGGTTCACCTTCAACTAGTAAAGCTGGAAGGTCGCCATTGACAACTGTGTTGGTACAGCGACAAAAATAGAAATGAGGTTTTGCATCAAATTTATTATAATCTATAACTATTCGAGTGCGTTTGGTCTTAAAGCGTTTTCTAGAGTGTTTCAAGACACACGTGTTTCAAGCGTCGGTTTTCGGCCCGCGGAGACACGTGGATTTATTCGAATCTTACATCTATTACACGTTAGTTTGACCAGAAAATCTTACCTTCCGTATGGTGGATCAATAATCATCGTCAGATTAAAGCAGCCTAAAATAATTTAAATATTTGACGAATTAGACTTTAGTAATTTACTTATATCCATTCAATGTCCGAATTACAATTATAAATTTCGATTTATTTCGAGTAATATCATAACTAACCGTCTTATTTCAATAGTTGTCAACTTGGCATACATATGGTGACTGATTTGCTACGCCTTTGTGCGTCGTGTTGGCGCTAGCGACAACAGGGCAAAGCGACAAACGAAGCGTTGTCGGACTTTTGTCCTGTCGTCCTGTCGCTTACGTTGTACGCCAAACGGAGCGTTGTCGTGCCACGTGTTGTCGACATGTCACATTGTCGCTCGGTTCAAATCTAAGGATTGGCTTATTAGCCAAGCGTCAATGCGACATTGCGACAACGCGTCGCACGACAAGTCGCCGTTTGGCGTGCTTCGCTAGACATAGGACGACAGCGCATTGTTTGGCGCTTTGCCGTGTTGTTGCTAGCGAAAAGACGAAAAGGCGAGAACGATATAGGTTGCGTTGTCGCTATCGACATGCAACGCGCAATGTACCAAAATCAGCCACCATACATACTGCATTTTTGTGACGTGAGGGTGTATATAATTCCACTAAGACGTCATTATTTCAGAAATGTAAATTCAAATACGTACTGTATTTACTGTGTATGCATACATATATGCCTGAAATACCGGTATATACGTATTGCCAACCAGGTACAGAGCATATATATTACAGAAGATGTGGTATTTTTCTTACATAACTTAAGCCCATTTCAAGTTTAAAATAGGTTTATTGTAGTCGTTTTTAAGTTTGTAACAACACTAATTGAATTTGAACATTTCACAAAAAAGATATTTTGGTGGAAAGGCTTAAGTGTACATCTAAATATCGCTTAAATCATACGTGTAATTTGATTTTATAATAAAATACTCAATAGTCAAGATTTATTGCATTATAGCTGATAAAAAACAACAACCAAAAACGTATTATTTTATGATCAAAATATAGCATTCTTACCGACGGACTTTCCGGTAGTGTTACACTTGAAAGTTCCGTGGTCAGAGTCCTCGTTGTCCAGTGCGAGTAAGTGGCTAAAACGTTGTAAAAATAATTAATTATTACTTTATTCACAATCAGAATGTAAATAATGCAACCCAGTTTCTTTGAACTTGCAATTTTTCACATACATGTATAATTACAGCACCTGTACAGTTTTGTTTTGTGTTTTTTCAGGGACAGCGTTACTAGCTTTTTGTTTACTTGTTACGAATGACCCAAGTGCTCTTCGATGCATCATTTCCAATTGACCAGTCACCTATGTAGAATCGACCTAATCACGGTGCCTTTACAACGTGACTTATATGGTTTGCCTTGTAGTAAAGTCGGTTTAGGATTTATTTTCCTGTAAAAAGGTTTCTAGACCAACCTTTGTATTGCTTTTCTGTCCCAAGCAGCATACAAAATGTCATGTGAGGGCACCGTGCTATATCGCAAGATACCCGACTAGTCACGTGCGAGAGAAAGGGAACCCAACCTTTAGCGCGATTCATCTAAAGTCATGGATGCCTAGCTTATACACAGATTTCTCTAAATATATCACATTGGCCAATTTTATGCGTTACAGCATTCGTTTGATGATCAAACTAAAGATTAACTGACAAACTCAGTAAATTACATTGTATGTATAGAATTAGTAAAATACTTACAACTGATCCGACCCTGCAGGCTTCAGCTCACACGTTTGTCCGCCCATGTACAATCTGAAAGATCATGAAACATGCATTAAGTGAATCGTTTACAACAAATAAATTTAGAAAAAAAAGTCTTCCTATTGTTTTGATTAGTTGTCTCTCTTGCCAACGATTTTCATCGAAAGCGTAACTCTATAAGAGTCACCAGAATAACGTTTGTAACTCTATCTAAATAGAACCTTGGTAAATTTAAGCTTTTTCTCTTTGCAGCCAGAGGCTCTTAAATATCTCATTGTAATAGAAATATAATAAATCTGAAACGATCTCTTTTTTTATGCCTTATTAACTTGCAGTGTATTCAATTCATAGTGCAATATTTTCATTGTCAAAAAGTTCATTTTAATTGTCAAAAAGTTCCTTCATCTATACTCCCTTCACAGTTCACTGAATTCACACACGTTACTTCAGAAAGTGAGCGATAGTGAAACATTCCGCCGGTGCACAGGAGAGTATCCTTCATCGAGTTTGATAAACTAAATACATGTATGTCCGATTCTAGCAACCTACCTTAGGATCCTCTGGGGTCTACCATTCGAAGCCTTTTCAATATTATTACCGAACTTATCAGTGTAAAGTAAACCAGTCACCGTGATTAGAGTCCCATCTGTACAAAGAAAAAACATTTAGAGTAATGCACTAGTCAATTAATGTTAAAATGTTATTCGGATTCATTACCCCCAATTAACAGCATTTGCATAATCTATAAATATATTATACTTTATCTCGGAGTACCATCATTTCTCCCAGTTTCTATGACCTGGGACTATGATGACACTGTGAACTTAGTACCGTGCATTTTTTATAATTTTGAATATAATTATTTTAATTTTTTTTTTATATTTTTCGAAATTTTCTAAAATGTTTACATCTCCTTACCATGGCCGATAAGAGACCAAAACAAATTAATTCAGATAAGTTAATTGGCAAGCAGCTTTTACATTCATTTGTGTTCATTTTTTTTATTTTTTATCAATTTTGAATAGTATGCTTCATCAGTTGACTTACCCGGTGGTCCAGATTGAGGTACTAAAGTTTCGATGATAGGCGTGTTGTCTATATGTGGCTGGAAATAAGATAACTCAACTAAACATTACATTATACTGGAGCTGATACATAGTTACTATGTACAATGAGTGATAACACATTAAAAGAAATGAGCCGCGTCTTAACAAAACCAACATAGTGCGTTTGCGACCAGTGTGGATCCAGACCAGCCTGCGCATTAGCGCAGTCTGATCAGGGTCCATGCTGTTCGCTTACCAACCCTATTACATATAGAGAAACTGATAGCGAACAGCATGGATCCTGATCGGACTGCGCGGATGCGCAGGCTGGTCTGGATCCATGCTGGTCGCAAACGCACTATGTTGGTTTTGGCATGACGGGGCTCAAATAAAAAAATAGATTAATAAATGAAAAAATAAATGCATTTTGCTTTGAATTGGATTTAACGAAATATCTATAAAACATTTTATATTATTTTGTGATTTAGCACAATTGTAGCTTAATAATGAATCGAAAGTACTTGTAATTTAAAGCAAATATTGAGGTATTTTCATACAAAGAATCCCGTGCGGATCTATCACATTACGTAAATCTATAAGCCTTACCTTAAACGTGCAGCTTGCGGCGTTTAGACAATCTTCGTCGACAAGTTTGCCTTCAATAGTAATCTTTACAGAATGATCCTCTTGACGCATGCCCCTACGTAGATTAAAATTTGCATAAGTTTACCATTTCAAGTTATGTAATGACATTATTGCTGCTTATTATTTCTATAAATTGTAACGGTTCCATCGGCAGGAACACAGTTTTTGTTTCTTTAGATTTTGCGACACTTGGAATAATATACAAAAATATACAACGGAAAACAGATTTCAAACAAAATGCCCTTGATGCAATATCAATTTTAATTTCGTTACTACTCCCAATGATACAGAGTATTTTTAAAATGAATAATTTTTTGTTTCCATAATAATGTTCTAAGGATACATACTTTGGAGTGTAGCAGGTAATTATTGTTTCCACGCAACCATCCGGAAATAACCGACACGAATACTCCCTGCCAGATTCACTCACGAAGTACACCTTTGTGCCTACATTGGGGTTGTCATCTTGACTATTCAACTGGTCGCTTGGAAAACCTATAAGAACGGTTAAGAACATAATTATTATATCGTAATCGTTTATCTTCTCTATCTGAATATATCAAAATCATTGAAACCGCATTGCTGATGTGCCGCGAGTGCTTGAAAATGAACACCTTTATATATTTGTTATTAAAGCTATAATGTCCTCTGCCAAACACTATGCTTGTGAGATAATGCAAGTCGTTATCAGGACTTGTTCTACTTAAGGAGTTTTAAATAAAAACGGATTGTTTCAGAAAGTAATATACAATGTAGATAATAATGACAATTAAAATAAATAAGAATTTACCTGTTCCAGTGATTGACAATTTTGTTTCTCCGTTCAAACTGCCATAATTAGGACTGATGGAAGTGAACTTTGCACCTGATCATGAAAAGAATAAAATTCATTTTATTTTCACAGTGGATGATAATTTGTTATCTTTTTTTCAATATATAAATCCTTTAAGTGAAAGAAGGGATACTTCCCGCTAACCAGATATCACGGACTCCATGTTGGGCGTCTTCTAAGACTTGTTAAAAACATCGTAAGCACCACAATTAGGACAACATAAATTTATACCACCTATGAATGAACTACCTCAGGTTATTTTCTTACGGTAATAAAACTCACAATGTTAAAAGACTCAAGCTGGTCTAGTTTGACTAGAGATGCTCGAACATGTTTCATAAGAGGAAAAGGGGATTATTATTGCATTATTCTATCGCATGAACAGTGTTTTTCTTCTCTCCGTCCAAGTTATTAGTACATGTAGCTTGATATATAACTGTTGACCTCCAAGGTCGAGTGCACTTTGAATAAATAAAAATAACAACCTAACTCCTTTAACAGTACTCGTAAATAGACAATTAAAAGACCTTATTCGTGAACAGCAATTTTAATAAAGATATATTGTTTTTATCCCTTCCAATTGTTTTGGCAAAACATATGATACAATATTACGGAAGCACAGAGGTGACAAATTGGATTTTTTTCCATTTCATTTCATTGACATGAGAATGTATAAAAAGTATTCTAAAAATGATTTCGATTACGAGATAGATAAAGGAAATAAATAAAAATGGAACGGGATTATAATTCGTGGCAATAACACAACAAAATTAGCCCGTTGCAACTAGAAACAATCTATGTCCATGGGATAATAATTTAACTGAATGTCACCTCTGTGCTTCCATACTGTTACATTATAACGTAGTATTATTTTAAATCTTATTTGAATCGAGATAACGTCATAGTCAAATGTTAATACCATGGCGCCTCTCCATCAAAATCGTTTCTTTCTATTGCTTTAAATTGACAAACAAAGATCATTTTGTAACATGTTTTCAATAAGATACTCTATATGGGATCATTTTATCACCTAAATAATTTTTAACGGTCATTCAAATGAGCCAGAACACGTACTTGCTAATACCAGTGCCAACCATAGGACATTTTTGATTTGTACTCTTATGTCTCAATGTATTTTCAAAAAGATTAATATTAGAACACTGAAAGTGTGTTCTGAAATTTTCCCGGGAGGTTCTTTTTAAAGTGAACCGCTTTAAAAGCACGCACGCACGCACGCACGCACTCACTCACTCACTCACCCACCAACTCACTCACTCACTCACTCACTCACTCACTCACTCACTCACTCACTCACTCACTCACTCACTCACTCACTCAATCAATCAATCAATCAATCAATCAATCAATCAATCAATCAATCGTCAATCAATCAATCGTCAATCTTAATATCAATTAGTCATTCATCAACAATCTGGCAAATAATCAATCATATCTCAAGTCTAAACTGCCTTGTTAACATAGATAGGAATAAGCAAAAACTTATGTAATATTCTTTATAAAAATACAATCTTAACCCTTCACCACTCATCTTCCGCTTTGTATAAATAAAAAAACTGGTTGTTATCATATTTTGTCCTTTGATATTACTGCAATCATTTTCGCATTACAAGTTTGAGAGACTTTTTTTTAATTCAAATTCAGCATATACGAATTGCTATTGTTCAGGTATTAATGAAGTTTAATAAAATGCCTTTTGCTTTTGAAGTTTTTACTAAAACGAGGCTCGCAGCCGGTTCATGGTATTGAACTCTTGACAGCAATATAAGAGAGCTATAATTACAATGGGCAAACTATAATTAGTTAAAGCTATGTAAACTATAATTAGGCGATCATGATTTTATCAGAAAATCAGTAGATGTGTGATAAGATTTCATTAACTGACTGCATTTATGAAAATTATTATTATAATCATAATAATATAATAAAAATATTTATTGAAAATCATTTCAAAAAAAGTAAACAATAACCCTGGATCAGAGTTTTTTATTTTCTGTTTCGTGATAGCCCATTTCTTAGCCCATTTTTTAACGGCTGTACAGTTTATAATTGTAATGGAAATGACGTTTGAGTATAGAATGTCGAAAGGTTTAGAATAATTGTATAACACTAATTGTAGCTTAAGTCAAAGGCAACATTTCTTTAAGCGATTATTTATCGATAAATGATTAAAAAATTAATTATGAATTATCATTATTTTGAAATGGTATTTTTCTTTTACGAAATTTCTAAAAGAACGTACTGAAATGAATGCTGCTTTTATGCTGCCAGTTCTGTAATAGTTATAATTATTTCTATTAGAACCTGTCAATAACGGTACATGTCAATTGTAGGCCAATGTCTTAAATGATAGTCAATTATAACATGCCAGCTATGACGTACTTTAAAATAAATAACAACGCATGAAACACGCGAAAGATTTGCATGTATTAAAAAAAAGAACTTTAAGTACAAAATTTTAATTTTACGCGTAAAAGAAAATTTATTCAAAATTCGCTATAGTAGCTTTTTATAAAGTCTTGAGAAGAATTAAAGCTTTATTTTGATTATCTAAACCATTTCTCTACAAAAAAAAAGCCACGGGTAGCGGCGAATCATCTGGAATCGAAATATTTCGAAAAATGCTTTATTCTTTTACTTATGCCCACCATTTGAGCTGTTAGGGACTTCATAGAGACTCGGGAAATGCAACCCATCGGTAAAGCCCAACACTTATGCAGTATATTTAAGACGCTTTTCCTTCTATATTTCTATATTTTTTATTTCTTTTTTTTTTTTGGGGGGGGGGGGGAAAGAGAGAAGGGATGTGGGTTGATGGGGCGGGAGTTCGGAATCTTCTCCCATATTACACGTACCAATCTCGTCAAAGACTCAATTTCTAAACATTTTCTTGACAATTTTAATATAATTCTAAAAAGAAATGAGAACTTTGTTGTTATATTTTTTTTCATGAATATTATTTATGTTATCATAATTGTGGTTATATGTTTGTGTATTTATGGTGTTTCAGTATAAATGGAGAATTCACAAATTTGGAGAAAGAGTGATCTCTCGGAATCATAAATTAGAACAAAATTACATGCAAAGTGCGGACTCAGTTTGATTGATTCTGTACACGAGGGATAATGAAAAAGTGCAACACCTCTTTTACGACCCCTAGCATCAGCGTGACTGGTACTCAATTTTCAACACTAGACCTTAAATTTCGCTCGCAAAACACGAAAAAAACTGAAAATATTACTTAGTAAGATAAAGGAATTCAGTGACAGAAGTAGCACATTCAAGAATCCGGTGCCGTCCGCTAGCACCAGCTTCAGCAAAATTCAATATCTGCATACGATGCACTATTCAATTTCGAACCATTGACGATGCTGACCAGACAGCACGTAAACTGATCCTTTTCTAGATCTCTTAAATAAATTTTAAAGCTTGTAGATGATCGTGTTATATTAAAAACTACAACAATAAACTTGATTTAAACTGTAAAAGCGCTCAAATTACAAAAAAATTACAACTTTTTGAAACTTGATATTTTTACTGAGTGCACTTGAACAGATAGTAAACGACCGCAACGGACTATCTTATCGTATATCTTGAACAAAATAGATAGCATTATCAAATCATTTCAGACTATTTAGACACGCATATTAGTCTACTTTCAGATTTTGAATAGACTTTTACCACTTCAGGTGACTTCACTTAAATAAATCAAAACAAAGCCCTTTAAAATTTTTTAAAAATTTTTTCAAAGGGGTTTTTTAATTGAAATTTACAATGAAATTTTAGTAATAAAAACAATTTTTTAAATTTTAAAATACAAACTTTTTTAAATTTTTTTATTAGTACTTTTTTAAATTTTGAAGTTTTTTTCCATTATATTTATAAACCCTTTTATGTAAAAAATATGTTACTTATTGTTTTAAATTCCCAAATTAAATTCAAATACTACAGACATGCATGATATTGAAGATAATAATTTTAGATCTGGCAAAATAAATAGATAAAAATAAATAAATAAAAAAGACTCGGTTTGATTGAATTTATTCATGACATATAATGTAAAAGTTCAACATCAATACCCCCTAGCACCGGCTTAAAGTGAATTCAAAATCTAACACTAATGTGCTAGGATAAATGTTCCCGATGGACGAAAAATACATTGCAACACGGAAATGAAGAACGGGAAATAAAAGAGAAAAATTTTGTCTCAATAATTTAAACTATAAATCGAAAACGTGGAACTATTTATTTGCTATAGGATAAGACATGTGTCCTATCATTTTATTAAAATGTTACATTAATTTGTATATGACAAAGTGTTATCATTTTAAAGAATGTTAAATTTAAATACATTTTTTTTTCAAAATAATGTGCAATTTGTCATTCATATATTGTGATTGGGTGGCCAAGTATTTCGGATTAAATATCAATAAAAAAAAGGGGAGAAACAAATGTGCGACGTAGCATTTTATTTCATTTTGCAATGTCATGCTTTTATATTCAAGACAGTTCACCTCCACATTGTTGCATGTATAGTTTTGTTTTACAAAAGAATAAAGACATTTTGGGTGTTCAGTGATTTCATTTTTTGTCTTTAGAATATTAATCAATTAAATCTAAATTTTCAAATATAAATTTCATATTAAGGAACGATTTAATTACACAATGAAGAGAAAAAAACTATTGCTTATTTGCATTTGAACTGTCTAGATTATTTTGTGGTAAATTACGTCTTATTGACAATAAGAATCATTTAGCGTTATTTCAAAATGAACTTATATTTTAAAAGGAAAAAGCACAATCATGTAGCATCATAACTTGATTTCTACTGAGAACATCAGCAAACATAACTGCGGTCCCAAACTCTTATTATGCCTCAGAAATTCTATCAATTTTGTTTCTCAAACCTTTTTATTTTTGAAATTTTGTTTTTTTACAGTTTCAAAAAAAAACAAAAAAACAAAAAAACAAACTAATTTGCCATTTATACGAATTTTTTTATACGAACATGATAATCGCCGTATGAACACACCTGTGGATGTTTCTAAATTCAATATTCACCATTTTTATGTTCTGCTTAAGCCGTTGCTAGGGGGCGTGGACAGTAGTTTGCATTTGACAGTACCGTCCATAAACGGGGTAAATCAAACCGGGTCTGCAACATTTTCAATTTTGTCGTTTTAGACTTTCTTTAAGATTTCTCATTTTCTCTAATTTTTTTTTGCTACTTCTGCTCTTTTGGCAATCTGTGTAATTACAGTGAATTACTTTTTTGTATGGAAGTAAAAAATACTACCTTTTCTACATTTTGCTTTTTCGGGAACCCTTTTTCACCCTTCAACAAAACTTTCTTTATTTTTAAATATGCCCCTGAATTTATTGTTTAAAAAATAAATTAACTAAAAACAAAGTTTTTTTCCCCTTTTTTTGAATTAAAAAAATGGATTCTAAAACAAAAACACCAAAAAATTTTTTCATAGTTCAAAATTTGGGGACTTTAAAAGGGAAAAAAAAAGTTTGCACAAAAAGGGAAAGAAATTACTAAAAAGTTTAATTTTAAAAAACGTTTTTCAAATTTCGATTCATAAACCCAAAGGGGGTTAAAAAATTTGAAAAAAGCTTTTAATTTTTTGCGGGTTTTTTTGTGAAAAGAATTTACTATTTTGGGAAAAAAAAACATAGCGACTTAACTAAAATTTTGCACACAAGTTCTTCGTCCAAACCTTTATCAAATGGTTCAAATAGCCTTGACGTGCCACAAAAAAAAAAAAACTCAGTTGAATCCGTTTTACAGTGTATATCTAAAGCGTATGTGTCAATTGTATTACCCAATAAAGAAAATATATTTGTATTAACAAATAACAATGGTAATAAATAAGTACATTAAGAAAATTTCAATGATTTAAATTGTTATAAGAAAAAAGAAGAAGAAAAAAAAAGAACAAACTGTATTGCTTAATTTTGTCAATTATATACTAGGTGAAAGCTGATCTTAATTTACACGAGTACATATTTACCTTTTCACCGCTTTAAGCTTCTTTAAATCGCAAGGGCTAAAGATAAAGCTATTCACAAATAATAAATTTCTGAGATACTCTTTTAAATAATTCCTGACAACTCTATTTAATATGTGATGAAAACCTCCTTTTATATTTGTTTTGAAAAAAGAAAAAAAAAAAGATAATAGATCTAGCAACTGTTTCTGAGTAATATTTTTTTTGGATTTAACATTAAAACCTTTAAACGAATCCCTTTTCGCATCCTTTTCAAATTTTACATTTATTGAAAAATATTTCTTAAAATTCACAAAAAAATACATAACATAATAATATTTCTACTGATGCACGCATAAAAGAAACGTCTTAACTCTATCATTCTTTAAAGGAAAGAAGTCATGAAATGTACAGTACTTTATAAATATTGAAAAATGTACACTTAAATATAAAATAATTGGAATTACTTTATGAAATAACGTTATTCAAAAGAAACGCATTCACACAAACATTCAAATAAAAACATACAGTACATCAATTAGCATTAAAATTGCACATTTGTACAATTTCTCCAACTACTAAGAGAATGGTTATTTTTTTTCGAGTGAAGCATTTCATCGCCATCCTAACTAACATGGGACATAAAGTTTAAATCTGTTTAATGCGTATGAGTAGCGCGCTATAAATCGGCATTTTATACGAAAATGCACTTTATATTATCATCCTCTCAATTCTTAAAATATCAAAAAAGTTGTATCTTATAATATCTTCGTTATTTAATAAAACATGAATGTTTTACAGTAACAGAATTTAATGTTCTGGGATTAAAATATGCTAATTAAAGTAGTGTTTTAACGGTTCAGCAACTATTTTCGTTCTTAGGAAATATACAAACATATATTTTTCATATAGTTTTTTAGAAGTGTTCTCTTTCTAAATTGAAACAAATTCTTTTATTCCAAAACAGGCAGCAGATATATGAGCCGCGTCACGACAAAACCAACATTATGGGTTTGCGACCTGCATGGATCCAGACGAGTCATGCGCATCCGATTGTTCGCTATCAATTTCTCTACTTGTAATAGGGTTTGTAAGCGAACAGCATGGATCCTGATCAGACTGCGCGGATGCGCAGCAGGTCTGGATCTATGCTGGTCGCAAACGCATGTCGTTGGTTTTGTCGTGACGCGGCTCATATAGCTTCACACACTTATCAAGATATTATCTCACTAGATTTAATTTCTATGACCAGAGCAACGGGTTTCTGAACCAATTATTTCAGTCGCAAGCACAATGCATGAGGGTATTATACCAAACATTTAACAAAGTCAAACTTCAAAACTAAACATGATGTAAATAAATATACAAACAACAATATATTAATAAGACAATCAATTAACAAAATGTATCAACAAAAAAAAATGTAATGCTACATTAAAATTTAAATTATGCCTCGTTAAATTTGATATGACATGCTAAAATTAATTGACTACATCCCCCTTATCTATTGGTTATCTATTGAAATAAATCTACACAAATAAATATTAAGACGCAATTTAGGAGTTTTTTTTCTACAGCCAATAATCATCTTCATGACCGCTATACCTCGAATAATTTCATTTTTATTTATTTTATTAATCAAATAATAAATTTACCTTCACTTGAAACTGCAAATAACAGAATCCATAAAAAACTTGTAGAAAATTCCGTCATTTTCTTCTTCACTCGAGTCCCCATCGTGCCTTTATGCAACAAATGCAATTTGACGTCAGGGTTTTCGTTATTTATACAAATTCAACGCGCTTTTTGAATTGTCCAATCAGTGCGATTTGATTGTCATTATAACTTTGATATAAAAGAACGTATCTGATATGTTTTCATGTAGAATTTACGACTACGTGCTTCTAATATATTGATAAGATCAATGTCACAAAATTTGATATATCAGTTATATACTTTTTTATAGTCTAAATAGTGTTATAAAAGAACATATATTGTCTTCTTTTGAAACTATTGTCTATGCATTAGATAAAGTTTAAACTTTATAGGTTTATAATGAAGTAGAACAAATTAACAGTATTTGTTATTATAGACGTAATTAGGTGGTTCATGTAAGTCAAGAGATAATTAATGTGATATATGCTTTGTTTATGTTTTATTTAATATTTACGCATTGTTTACGATGTTATTGGTATTTGAAACGCATATCAGCCCTAGTCTGATAAATGTTTCAAAAAAAAAAAAAAAAAAAAAAAAATGAAATAATATATTTAAATAATCCTACACCAATGGTTTATAAAAGCATGCTTTTAAACAAGCTATATGTGTAACCCAGAATGAAAGTAACATCAAAGGCATGCACTTAAGTGCAACATTAACTGAAAGGCACGCGCATGCAATGCAAACTGAAGCAAGCAAATTCAGATAACTGTAATAAAACATTCGAGAGAATAAATATTAGATTATAATCTATTTTTTAGTCACACGGTCGTCAATTGTTTGGTAGAAGTATAAAGCAATGCATAGAAAATGACTTATATTTAATTCTGTGAACGATAAAGTATACACACTTACATTAAGTGAACAGAGACGGCGAAAAAATAAATAAGTTGATGTTAGAATAAGTAATATTAAAAGTAATGTTTGTTGATAGAAAAGAATAGATTCAACGGAATCAACGTATGAAAGTATTACAGACGACAAGGAAACAACAATTTAAACGGAGGAATATATATATATATGCAACGTGTAATCGAGACACAGTTAGGGCAAAGGAAATGAATATCAAAGTATGAAATTATTATCAAAATGATACCTTATTTTGAAAAGAAGCAACAGGAAAGATTTACCTTTTACAGAGAAATAAATGACCCTAACATTACATAATAAAATGCACATTTGTATAAACTTAGTATACAGATCCGGATCATTCATTCCAACACGTTTAAGGGTTAAATTTGAATACCTCTCACGCCAGTGGTTGGGAGCGTGAGAGATGTTGCACTTTTTTGTTATTCATCATGTACAGACTCAATCAAACCTAGTCTGCAATTTTCATCTAACTTTGCAGTGGTTGTTGCTTCCGAGGGATAACATTATGTCCAGCTTTATAGTAGATGGAAACAAACAGAGTTGTTATTAAAAGAAAAATCAACAAAATTTTATTAAGTCTTTATATCTCACTGTATTGTAGAGCAGTAAAATGCATATTCTATCATAGCAGACATTGAAACAAAAGTTATATTTGTTTTTCTTAACCTTTATTTCTTAAACGAACTTGTTCCGCTTCCATGCACCTATTTCTTTGGAAGCTACTGTCAATTGTCATTTTACTGGAAATCAATATCAAACTTTGAAAATTAGCCAGCCAAAAGTACAGAACCTGGTCAGCACAGACGGATAGGCTGGTTTGGACCATACTGGTGACTACGGCTTATCACTTCCGGTTCCGGTAGGGTAATGACTAGGTGCTCGATGTCGTTCATCAAAGATACAATACAATTCTCTTCAGAATTAAACACATGCTAGATCAGAAAAAACATGAACATGAAAAATTATCAATAATAACTACAACACATTCATACTATCTAATCATAAGTGCACAAAGAAATAGTACATGAAAATAAATAAATAAATGGCACAAATTTATTATTTTTGAACCAGACGAAGACTATGAAAACATGGTAGTGAATATCTACGAAAGACCGGTGGAGACATTTCAGCTTTATGAATTCCCAATAAGATCTTCGTGAATTCACAATGATGAAGTCGTGAATTAATGAAATTGAAATCGCGAAATCATAAAGTTGAAATATTGAATTCGTTAAGTTGAAATGTCCCCACAGGTCTTTCGTAAATATCTTATCCGTTCACCCATTAGTTGCAATGTCATATATATAAAACAAAGGCTCAAGTTAATAACCCCGTATAGCGGTGTAATGTAGTTTTAATTTCCTTCGTTTAAAGAGCATGCGATATTGTCAATGGACGTGTTTATCAATTTTCTTTCATGATTTAGTCTTTTCAATAAGAGCAATCAAGTAAGAATTTTACATTATCAGATTTTATCACACATGAAATAAATAGATAAAAAAATGAAACATGACCCTTTTTAAAGAAGTATTTAAAATCAAACTGTTATGGCATTTTCCACATTAAATCTAAAATATACAAGACTTAGTGATAGCGATGTTCAAGAAGGTCACGCCCCTCTCGCCATGCTACCACACGACAAACCTACATATATTGGTACCATATTCCATAGATACAATTTGTTACGGCCCAGTAAGGAAAGGAAACGGTTTTATTTAGAAAGAAAAGCTGTAATGTTCTCAAGAAGTACGTAGAACTCTCTTCAAGTGCTTAATATATACTCACTGATGACCTAAATATAGCATATTCATAACAAAATTACCGAGTCAAGCATATTAAAAATGTCCAACAACGGCACGGGGTCGCATGACGCATTCTTTACTTGGGGTGGGGGGGGGGGGGTGGGGGTCATACGCTGCTTTTCATAGATTGGCACTACTGTCACATTGAAGGTTCCATGATAACCGCCGTATGAACACATCTGCGGATGTTCTTAATTTGAAATTTCACCATTTTAGTGTTTAAATGTTGCGTTCTGCTAAAGCGGTGCTAGGGGCGTTAAGAGTAACTTGCACTTTCCAGAAACGCCGATGAACAGGCTCAATCACACCGACCCTGCAACATTTTCAATTGTCCGCGTTTGGCTTTCTTTAGGGATTCTGTTTTTTTTTCTCTTTTTTATTTGATCTGTTCATGTATGTGTTATTCCCCATTATTCTACACGTGTGCGCAGATTTTATGCAAGCGTATTAATTATTAAACCGTTAGTTTGATGACATTATCACTTTGTTACTAAAACTGCATAAAATATTAAAACCTGTCGATCCTATTAAATCAGTATGACATTGCTATTTTTTTAATTACGCTCCTATGGCGCGTGTAAAAAAAGCAATGTTTTTCCTTCTTTTCACATGTCTTTATTATGATATATAATTCATAATGAAACTAATCAAGTCTAGTTATATATAATTTTCTTTTTAAAAATCTTTTGATTGTGCACGTTCATTGTTGCGTTTTACAAGTTTTTTTTCTATCATAAAGCCAACGAAAAATTACGCCGTGTTTTTATTGTGGGGACAGTACTTGACAATGTACTTGTTGGAGAAATGTTTTTATTTTTATAATATGAACGGACGCCCGGAATTTATTTGAAATAGAAACATGAAATACGTTTATGTGCGATAAAACTCGACCCAAACAGATTGTTTTGAGTCTATGCATCTCTTAGCTCCAGTAAGTGGTTTTAACTCCTGGTGCTGCTTTGAAGATTGTTCGTAACACCTGAGGTTATCCAAAATCGTTTTACCTGTTTCGGCGCTATATGACCTAAATTGTGTTAATGCGCCTTAAAACCACACACCCAACCGATCAACGAAACCAAAAAAAAAAAAAAAAAAAAAAAAAGAAAAGAAAAGAAAAAACAAAAAACTACACAGATGTTGTTAAAAATATATTTCTGAGAGTATTCATGAAACATTCTTATTGTTTAAACACAAGAAATGTATGAAACAAATAAGTGTTAATATTTAAAGGTTAATATTTGTCGTCTAAACCATTTAAATGTGACACATTAATATACATTTATTTGAAGGCTTTTCAAAAGTCAGAGCATCATTTTTCTATGGATCACAACTTTATTTACATGTTACTACTGACTATGTCATCCTAACAAATAACTGCCACAACTGGAGCGGTACAACAAATGTTAACATTTAGTACATTTAAGAATGGGTTATAATTTTGAATACTTGCCATATATTGAGAGGTCTACCTAATAAACTAAACATTCAATATTGTCTTTATATTGGGTCATGCGAACACTATGTTAGCAGTATTACTTCATTTAAGTGCTGTAGTATAATTTCATTCTGATTTTACGTGATCACTGGGTCCACAGTGTTGAAAACTTAGTACTTCTTAAGGCAGTGCCGTGTTAATAGTGTAAGAGATGTTTCAATGTCCGTTGTGTTTGGATGAACTTCCTTTGATGGACTTTGCAGAAATTTTAAACAAACTCCTCCTTTTTTAAATTTACATACAAGCGATTTGTAGTAGCTTATCAAAAATGTAGCGAAGACCCTTGAATTTGAAGCTCGTGTGCAGAAAAAAGAGAAAAATAGAATTCCTAAAGAAAGCCCAATGCGGCAAAATTAAAAATGTTGCAGGCTCGGTTTGAGTGAGCCTGTTCAAATCGTGCTTTGTTGCTTTGCTACAATAATTAATGTAAATTGATGTATACGAAGCAAACAATGCAAAGATATCTACTTTGCAGTAAACGAATTCAATAAAATAAGGAAGATAAAATGAAAATAGCAGTGGTAAATGCAGCGGTAAGTGCATCTTGTCGCCCCCACATACTCTAGCACCGTCTCGAGCATGACCTCAACCCTTAACCTTTATTTAGATTTAGATGTTTAGCAGATGTGGGATAATAAACCTTCGATGTATCACTTCCGTGACATTCCATGAATAGCGGAGTATGATTCCCAAGTAGTATAATACTCAAGCAACACGGCATCGTTATAGATGAGAATGAAGACCAGCTAGGCAAAGGCTAAGTTTACAGGACGAAGCCCCTGACTAACCCAAGCTTCCATAGCAGGGCAACCAAAAAAGCGCTAAACCAAAGCGGGGAGTGTATATAAGGGCGGACAAACGAGGAGAGGGACAAGTAATGTGTGAAAAATAATAACTAAAACGGGCCATATGGGA